GCAGGGCCTTGCGAATCCGCCCGGAATGAAAGCCGAAGAACTCTGCCATCTTGGCCAGGATGTTTATCAGCCTGCTGCTGATGCCAAGCAGGCCAGCGAGCCCATCTTTGCACGGTGTAAATCCTGCGTCACTCCTTTGACATCGGGAGACGGATACTCAGATTATAGCACAGCCCATCCATAGAGATTGAGTGCCAGCTCCTCCTGTCAGAAGGGCAGTAAGTAAAGCTGGTGAATTTTGGCTGGAAAGATACAAGGTGGAACCACAGGGCCTAGCCCTGCAAGCCAGATACGCTCTTTGCACTTGGTGCTGGTGCAGCATCTGCTAGTGCCCACACAGATTCTCAGACACAGAGGGAGAAATAAAACCCACCATAAGGATGCTTACACACCCATACACTTTTACTCAGCATAAAAAGCAGAGTCAGCTAAGGGGTGAGAGAAGGGAATAAAACTCAGAGCCACAGTAGGCACATGGAGTTGGCCATACACGTTTGATACCGCTAGGCACAGAAAACCGCTAAGTACCTCAATGCCTCCTGATGACTACATAAATTTTAAATGAGTGCAGACATCTATGTGCACATGCAGACACACACGCAGCCTCTGCTGGTAGGTAAAACATAAAACAAAATTGAATTTCCATCTTCACAGCAAGACAGGTTTTCTCCTTTTCTGGTGTGTTTCCTCAGCAGCTTCCTACAAACTTATCAGAGAGAAAAGGATGTTGAAAATGACACCAGTTGTTATGCGAATTGAACAAAGTCTAGATTTTCAGTTTCACGATCAATGTGTCTCTGACAGTCCATGGTTGCTGCTTCATTTAACCTAGCTCATTTCCTTTGAGGATTTTCTACCCATCGAGTTTGTGACAAAAATACCATGTGCTGAGGCTTATAAGGAGCTTTCAGACAGAGCAAGTAACTCCTGAGTTCTCCCTTTCTTTCCTTAGGTCAGATGGATGTTACACACTATCTTGCATTTCTGTGCTCTTCTTAGGAACCACTTCTCACAATTAGAGGTCAAAATATTTATGAAACTTCTAATGTTCCAACAGATTCTTTTGCAAATACCCTGGGAATTCAAAGCTTGATGGGGACACATGGACAGAATTTTCATTTCCTTAAGAAACCAGGCTAAAAATACATGTTCAGAGTTCAGCTTTTCCCATGCGGATGCACACTTTCCCAGGAGGCCCTGTGAATGCAGTGAACGCAGGTGGCAGCAGCTCTGTGTCCTCAGAGACCCCTTTTCTATCATAGTGGTTACTGCCCTTCCTGATTCTGTCAGCTTTGCAATTGCTGAGATCTTTGCTCTGGGTCTTGAGCCCTAATGGAAATCAGGCAGGGAGGATAATACAGAAACATGCACAGCCAGACTGGAGGTAGGATCTGAATGCTCCTGAGCTAAATGTGGGAACTTAAAACATACTTGCAGACACGGGAGGACGCCCTGAGGGAAGATGCATCTCAGTATGGGGAGCCAGCCAACCTTGCCTCCCAACTTCAGCTGTAATAGTGACATCCTGAATTCCCTTGCAACCCTCCTGCCTGCCTTGGTTCACCTACCAATAAGAAGGAATAGCAGGCTACTGACTGCAAAAGCTTGTTGTGAAGGCTATGAAGGTATTGCGGATACAGATACTCTCAGATGTTGTTCAGTGATGGTGTTACTAGTCTAGGTGACATAGTTCCAGTCAGTATAAAGCAGTCTATGCCCCAGCTTTTTGCCATATTGCCAAATATGGCACATTACAACAAATTAATTCCCCAGCCTTGCAATGTCTCTGCAGATCTAGATGTGAATCTCACGTTTATTAGCAATTCATCTTTTCTTGAACACTGAGTGTGTTTATGCAGCCCAGAGGCTCACAGGACTCTACAACGGGCAGGATATGGAAGGTCATGCAATAGGTTCGATGACTGACATGTGCTGGGAGACAGCAGGACAGACAGGGAGAAATGCTTCCCCCCACCCCCCAGAAGTACTCTGGCAAAGTTCAGTCTCTGGGAGGTTTTCTTACCCTGTGTTGTGGTTGCCTCTTGATTGTCCTGTCAGACCTTTGCTGGCAAGCACTTAAATTGAGAAAGTTCACCCCATAAAATCTACAGAAGAAGAGGATAGAAAAATGAAAAGCAATATATTTTTCTTTTAACACTCTCTCATTTTCTCCTGAAGTGTCAGCACCTTAAATAAAAAGCCTTTTATTGCCTTCTCGCTATCTGCGTTCAGTCACAAATAGCATATGCTGTAGCAAACAAGCAAAGGTCTCAGCTAGCAAGCTTTACCCTGAAGGGTGTCACCTCTGTATGGAGTCCTTTATTCTCCTTCCCATCTCATTTCTCCTTTGCTGTCACATACACTCCTGCTGGTTCTGAAAACACTCTCCTTTTGCTTGTAGAGATCAGCGTATGTGGAGGGCAAACCCTGTTCCCAAAGGTTTGCTATTTAGCTTCCACCCCACAAAAAGGGTGGCCAAGAGGAAGCAGATTGCTAATTTCCAGATTCTCATGGTTGGCTTAGCAGTTTGCAAACCATACTGAAAGCTCTCAAGGTATCTTTGTCCCTGCTTCTTTCTGCATCCTCAAAGGAGATGGGCTAGAAAGGATTTTCATACAAATTCACCTCTCTGGGGAGCCTCCATTTTGTAGGGTAAGAGTGTCAGAGACCAGAAATTCCTCTTAGAAAAAGAAATATCTCCTCTCCTCACTGCCCTGGGCACAGTAAAGGTGTCCTATTTTTAGGCAGGAGGAGGAGGACTTGGGATCCTGCATGGGATCTGCACCCACTCAGGTCCCTAGGCTTGCAGACACTCCTAGCAGCATAGCAAATTCTAAATCAAAAATGTAAGTCATAACACTGGGGCAGGATATTATCCTAAAACTTCCCATTTTGTTCTTTATGGATTCAGCAGAGTTTTGTCTTTGTAAAGTGTTTGTTTTCTCTTTGCCTACCTTACTGAGTATCGCAACTGACTACCTTGGTATTCCTACCATATTTGCAGTAGCAACACTGAATTATCAATGTGGTAAATGCAAACTTGCCTATTAAAAAGAAAAAGGACTTCAATTACTCGGGCGAATATAAAGTAGAAAAGAGCTGGTCCAGCTGGTAATGGTAATGATAATGACTAGTAACCTCTCTCAAATTTGCCTTAAATCCAAACACACTCTCTGACGTTGTTCTCCCTAGCATAGTAATTTGCACATACATACATGCACGTAACATATTAACCACTCGATCATTTAATGACACCTACTTCATTTCAAGTGGTGAATTTTCCCCATAGACATTGGCAAAGTGTGCCAAAGTGTTCACAAATTCATCTGTGATATGCAGAATTTACTTTCAGGCCAAAATGAACATTCAGTGTAGAAACGGAGTGGATAAAAATAGTGATGTTGGATGAGGATATTTTTGATATGCCCAGAGAGGAAATGCTCATGAATGTTTCCATCAGGTGTGCGATGTGACCACAAAATGTTCCAAATGCATTTTCATGAATTTTGCAGCTGAAAAAAAGAAAAACCTTACATTTGTCAGCATTTATTTCACCAATGAGACAAAAGATGATCTGTTGTTGGACTAAACAGCATGGATTAAAGCTAAGGACAGGAACTGTTTTGGTACATGTTCAGGTGTCTTTCTGCAGGTATAATAGAGCTGAATATACCTTGGCTCGTGCCATCATTTGCATGCTTTATAGCTGAGCAAGATCTTGGAAATCTAGCTCTCAGCTCCTCATGAACACATTTCCATTTACTTCCATGAGCTGAGGATCAGGCTCCAATCTTTTAAACATGAATGGCTCCAAACTCCTCTGTGTTTCTGTTCTGCTCAAAACAACCTCAAGAGTGGCTACCTGTCTAGGGGAAAGTGACAGTTTCTAAACCCATTCAAGATGATCCTGATGTCACCAAAGCTTTTGATGGGCCCAAGAGATGCAGGATCACTGTCAGACCATCACAAGGGGAACACTGCTGACCATTTCTGGGCCCAGCTGTGCCGTTTTGTGGTAACTGAGTCACAGAAAATGGCCAGAATGTAGAAGAGAGCCCTGCAATTAAAATAGGATATTCTTGAGTTATTTATATCTTTCTCAGAAAATAATGTGCAGAAATCTACAATAATAACCTGCTCTGGATTTATCCATCACTCATCATGCGATTCAGATTTAATTTGAGTGTTCCCTTTGTATATTTTTTTATTGTTCTGTTTGCTTAATGAGTGTTGCATTCGTAGTAATCAGATTATTGGTAATACGAAACAGATTTGTAGAATGATGAGAAGATAATTAGATGATATCTTGAGGGTGATTTGTGTTTAAGGCACAGTAACTATGTCAAGGAGTAAATAAACTCTGTGAGAAAAGATATCAATTACTATTAGCCTAAGATACAATTATTACCAAATTAATAGGATATACACTTCATTACAGGGAAATGTGTGGTGACTGAAGCTTGGTTCAGTCTGTCTAGCCTGCTTGTGAGTCTAGGAGAAAGTCCTGCTCAGAGTGCAGGCTGCCCAAGAGCTGCAGCCCCGACAGCAGTGGATGCAGCAGTGGAGCAGGCAGGAACCAGGTAGGGTTCATCTTTGGAGGATGTAGCGCACTTCCTTGATTTGCTCTGCTAGTTCCATGTTCAGAGGGTGTTCTGGCTTCCAAGGGCTCCACTTGATATCTTGACCAGTTGCAGTCACTCGTGTGTACCCATAACAAAAGCCTGGTGGCCCAATGACAACAGGGGTGCTTCACTATCAAACCCACATTGTCTTTTCTAAACCAAGGCTTATGCTTCAGAATCAACATGAGTACAAGCAATCTGTTGCTGGCCCTTGGACCTAAGAAGATGATTTTGAGTAACCATGACCTGACAATTCAGGCTGCCCAGTTCTCCTGAACGAAACAGCCGACTTGTGGCCCTTTTGCACACTCCTTTCTTGGACGCAGAGATGATTATGAATCTAATCACGTGCTAGAGGTGACAATCTGAAGGGAATACATGGCTGTCTGTGTCTACCATTTCGATAAAGTGATAGCAGCAAGTGTAAGTACACCCAAACACACACACAGATGTCTAGCTTTTCCTGTCAGCCACATGAACCATCCACATGGCCTGTATTTTCAGAATGTATGTCAAGTTTCACCAATTTCTTCAATGACTTTAATGGTCTGTGTAATGTTTCAGGCTCTTTGTTTAGATGTTCAGTCCCTGAGGGATCTTTAATATGCCTTTAACTCCTATCTAATAATGAAATATCTTCTGTAATTTTTCATAGAAATTGGTAATATGATTATGCTCTGCTAATAGTGTTACTTATTTTCTCCATGCTCTCATCCTCAGCTATATCTGTGGCAATCACAGGCCATATTTTATTCAAAGAAGGCAGAGATATCTCATTGGTTGTTTTCCTAAAGCAGACTGCCACAGAGAAAATCTACATCTAAGCTGCAACTACTGCATTTACACACAGGTAGCTGGAAGCGGGCCCAGCGCTCAAGCTGTCTGCCAAGGATGCATTTACCTGAAAGCAGTATTTGCCTTCTCAGGAGGAACTGGCTTCACTGCCTTAGTGAGTGTTACATGGCCAATTTCAGCAAACACTGTTTTCTGTGAATTAAAGCTCAAACCTCTTCATTTTCTAGAACACACCGACATCAAGTTTTCGATGGTGTCTGTGACACAGAAGTCATCATTTTCCAGCCTGAAGCAGTTTTGCAACATCACTAATAGGGTCCTTGGAGGCAAAAGTGCATAACTTGACTCTTGCACTTTGAGTCATTGGAACAGAGTTCCCTAATCAACTCCCTCAGCTTCTCAGACTTTATATTAATATTGACACTGCAAATTTATTAGACACTGTGGTGAAGCAGTGCTTTCGGTAGTTGCTACAAGCAGTTAGGCTAGATGCAAGCATCTCTACACTATTCATCTTTCCAAGGAATCGTTATACCTTTTCCCTGTTTATGTAGACAGGCCCTTACCTATGATCTCACCTATGATCTATTCATTTGACTTTCTATGTAAATGCCATTTATTTCTATATCATTTTCATTATCTAGAATGTATGTATTCATTTGCTTAGCTTTGTCCTGACAGTCCTGGCACTAGAAGATATTCTTTTTCCTTGCACAAATGAGTATCTTCATGCATGTTCCAATTATCCTCCAGCCAGTGACTCCATTAAGATCCCCCGTTTGCCTCTGATTTAAGGACATCTTTCCTATGGATAAGAAATTCAGGGAGGAATTTGCCAGTTTTGTTCACATACCTCTTTGTGTTAATAAGCTTATCACAGTCCCTTCAAAGTTTTCCCTATTTACTTTCCACTATGTATGATTCTGCTGTAAGAGACTTCTGGAAGTATTTTTGGCAACGCATTTTGTTCTGTTTTAACAGTTAAAAGTATAATTATCCTATTTACTTGCTGTTTGATCATCCATTCAATTTTGACTATGTTGTACATTTTTGTTTCATAATGTAAGGTTACCCTTGTTTTCTTCATCCCTCCTGTATAGACCAGTACCGCATTGCTTTTTGTAAAGCAATGGACATTATTCAGATTTATCTTAATTGCTACAGCATGCATAATTCCATAAGCTGTTTATATATATATATGACTTCTCAGTTTTTCTTGTTTCTAGAATTTTGGATGCTCCACATCTGTAATGAGGAGAATTCTTTATAAGCTTCAGTGTGTACCTGGTGGTTTTTGTTGCTTGGCAAATTCTATGTTCTCTTTTAATTCTTAATTATAAATCTTCTGTTAATGGTTTAACTGCTTCATCCTTGCAGTCATTGTATTTTCTTAATTTACTTTACTCCAGCTACCTTATGATATTCAGTATTGCAATTACTTTTCCCATCTGTTCTTAAATAGGGAAAACGAGATTCAATTAAGCAAAGATGCCATATAAATTGAGACAATAATGTCTATGCATTTGGAGGGACAGCTAACAAGTAGTAGGTAATAACTGTAGCTAAAACTACTTTTATTTAATATAAAATACAACACTGTTCTAATCTAGCCTAGTCAAGGCTCAGGTCCTTACACTGCCCTCAGCATGTTCTCATTGTAAACCCTTAAAGCAGCATATTAAGTGAAAAGAATGTCTAAACAACACTAAAAGGAAAGTCACAGCCTTGAACTGACACCAGTTCACAATGTGAAATGACTTCACAGAAAATACACAGTATGTAGTGAGAGAATGAAATTAAAAAGCAATGACTGTGTCATAATTAGCATATAATTTAATAACACAAGATCAACAATAACATTTTTTAAAAACCATATCACTTAGTAACCTTCTGGGAGATAAAACTAAATAAAAAACAAACTAGACACAGAAATTATTGAAAATACATTGGCTGAAAATCCTCCCGAGTTTATATAAAGAACATGTTTGAAAAACTCTCAAATGCCTTCCAGAACATAAGGAAATAGTAAATAAAAACAACAGAGAGATATTTAACTCTCTGTTAAAGACATCTGAGAGTGGAAGGCCCCATTTTTTTCTAGTCCACAGAGTAAAAAGATGACTTTTCAAATAATGGACTTTCAAAAAAATTGAAAGATAAGAAATATTGAAAAAAACAGATCATTAGATTTTCTTCTAATTTAATTAATTAAAAAAAAGTCATAGCTATGCATTCACCAACATCTGAAAACATTCAGACTCTATTTTATAGACAGCTAAAATGGCCTGTAAGAATTTATATGCAAAATACCCTGTCAATATTAGATAGGATTTATCTTTTGGCACAGGCTGAACTAGATCAATTTGTAGTAACTCAGCAGTATGAGGCTTCTCTTAAGTGGCTGTGTCTTGTGCTCCAAAATCCAGGTCAGATTAATCTTTTAGCTTCTGCAGTGGCAAAGACACTTTGCTGGTGAAGAGGAATGGGAGTGGTTCTTCATTACGGTGATGGATTTACTCATCTCTCCTTTAACCGCGACTGATTGTATTGTCCCCCACTGCCATCAAAGGACAAGAATAAAGGAACTTGGCCCTGGCTTTGGAAGAAGTGAAACTTTGAGCAAACACAAACACTTTGTGCTTGGTGTGCTATCTAAGATGTCAGCCAGATGTGTTCTGCGGGCCACCATGATACAAAACAAAATGAAAACAAAAACATTTAACAGGAAACCAAGTGGGAATCTCTCTTTCAGATTGTGACTGTTGCTCTTCGATTACAATTGCCCAAGGCTCCATTCCATCTGTCCCATAGATTAGTATGTCACAGCCTCTATGAAAAATAAATCATGACTGCTGATATATTAGTAGTTTTCAGGGGCTGTTATGAATGTAATATCAGCTGGCTATAAGACGTAACCAGGATGGTGTATAACAGCAGCTGTATTTTTGGGTAGATACTGTTTTAATATAAACTGAGTAAAGCTGTATGGAAAATCATATTCCTGGGAACAATGAAATCAAGAAACAGTGTAAAAGCCTGGATTTTATACCCTCCCTCATCCAGCTGTGAAGCAGGGATAAATGGAGAGAATTCCTTCCTTCCTTCCTTCCTTCCTTCCTTCCTTCCTTCCTTCCTTCCTTCCTTCCTTCCTTCCTTCCTTCCTTCCTTCCTTCCTTCCTTCCTTCCTTCCTTCCTTTTTTTTCTTTTTTTCTTTCTTTCTTTCTTTCTTTCTTTCTTTCTTTCTTTCTTTCTTTCTTTCTTTCTTCTTTCTCTTCTTCTCTCTTTCTCTCTTTTTCTTTCTCTCCTTCTCTCTTTCTCTCTTTCTCTTTCTTTCTCTTTCTTTTTTCTCTCTTTTTCTCTTTCTCTCTGTTTCTCTCTTTCTCTCTCTCCTTCTTTGTTTCTTTCTCTCTTTCTTTCTCTCTTTCATTGAACAATGAATACAGTTTTAATTTATCCACCTTAAATTCTCTATGCAGAAGTGGAAAAGGTCTGCCTGCAAATTTAAGCCCAGGAGAAGTTATCCATTACCACAGTGTTGGATGACAGTAACCTCACTTCCAAATGAATATTGCTTAGAAAACCATTCAGATCCCAGGAGCACTTCTGCATTTGTGCTGTTACTCTCTCTCTCTCTCCCTCCTTGTATTAAACTACTTTCCATGAAGAGTCCCTTAATATGTAGCAGCACCATAGTAATAACATCAGTTCAGCGATGAACTGATGTCCTCTTTGTAGCACTCGCTGAGACTTTTGATGAATAGTGCAATGTAAGGTGGTTAATATTATCAAAGAAATTGCTAGGGACTTTTATGTGCAGGGTTTTGTGCTCTCTAGATGGATGCATCAACCCCAGCCCCAGTGGCTTGTCCTTGTTCCTTTCATTCAGAGCAGACCTGAGGGAGAGCAAACTGTTGCTGGAGCTGAGTTAATATTTCTGGCCAGCTCTGAGACCAGAGGAGAAGTTTACAGAAGTTTTCATTTCCCTCCTTGCTACATTTAAAGCTTAGCATCCAGGACTGCTCACCCTGATGCTTCAGTAACAACCGTGTTTGGTGACTCCAAACAGGCTGAGAGTAAGTGCAGAGCCTCCTGAAATGTGTCTCTGCTAAAGGAACAAGTTCCTGACAAGATTGCCACAGAGCAGTTTAATGGATTTTTGCTGTTGTTCAAAAGCTGTGAATATCTCCATTTATTCCCTCAGAAAGAGGGTTAGTAAATTCAGAGAATCAATAACTACTGCTGTGTAATAGTCCAACCATAGGAAGAAGGAGCAGTGCATAAAGTCAGTGATTTTTTTTTTTAATCTAAAAATATGCTAGGCACATTCTTAAATTTCATTTTAGGGAAGGTAAAAGTTATATCATAGTCTGCTCACAGGACAGCAAAGGAAGAGTGTAGAAGAGAAGGAAGTGGAAAGATCATTCCTGTGCAGAGGTTCTCTGAGTTACCCAACCAAAAAATCTGCCAGTGTAATTCTGATCTTTCTCCAAGACAGCGGAGCAGGCACTGACTGCAGACATGACACAGTTGGAAATGAGGGCAAAAGAATCCGTCGTGAACTTTTTCTGCTCTCACAGATAGGCACTTCCTCTGATTAGCTTCTGTGACTGCCTATTCCCCAATCTCCCACTCAGGACAGTGACCAGGGGTGAAACAAAGAGGGATCAGGGACAAGGGAGGAAATGAAGGCCCCAACCTGGACATGCAAGCTGAGAAAAATCAATTGTGAAGCCCACTAGAGACTTCAGACAGAGGCAAACTCCTCAGACAGGGAGAGAAGCAACTCTGTCCTGCAGCTCAACCTATGCCCGTGGCCTGGCGGTGTTCAAGTGATTGCAGAATTAAAAGAGCAAATGATAATATCCTTTGATGGGTCACAGGCCTGCAGAGATTTAGAGTCTGAGTTTTTTTTCCACCAACAGTGCAAAAGCTGGAGGGTCGTGTGTCAATAAATAGATGTTCTCCCCTTAGCTCTCTGGACAGAATGATATTAATAATGTGTAAAAGAGGAGTTGTGAAGGCCTAATTGCTGTCTTGGTCTAGTAGGAAAATGCATAAGTATTTGTGCAGCAAATGTGCAGCTCTTATAGAGTGATAAATTCGGCATCTTAGCAATACAAGCAACTGTTTACATTTTACCTTAAGGGAACATCTGAAGATATGTGATCACCACTAGGACAGGAGATGCAGATTACAGCCCTGCTGTTTGATGCTCTCAGCCCTTCCTTAGCTGAGTCATGAATGTCAGAATATCCGGCAGACCGGTCATCTGCTATAGTGGTCTCCACTCGCTGTTGCTGTGAGGGTGATAGAGCAGCTACATGGAGCGTCCGTTTCTCTTATGCACACAGGGGCATATGCATCATTCTTTGCATTATGCTACCACCATGCAAAGAAACTCCTCTCTGTCCTTGTATAGTGCTGGCATATGATCTATTAGTGATGCAGGATGGTGTAATTTAGTCAACTGTATGAGGATTACCTATGGAGGAGCTGGCTAGAATTAGCCTTCAGATCCTGAATTTGAATAAAGCCCCCGCTGCTACTATGGAGTGACTGGAAATAGGATTTCTGCTCGCTATTCGCTTGGAACTTTTGGAAGGTCCCACTGAAAACTCCATACCAAGGGATGAAACTGGTGACTTTAGCAAAATTTATTACATACGTTCAGTCTCATGCCCAGAGATTTTCTCTCTATGACAGAAGATTGCCAACTCAGATGCGTTAGCTGAGTTGGGGACCTCAGAACAGACCATGCTGTACAGTAAAAGAAACTATATAATTCTCTGTTCTTGCCAAAATTTATGCATGTGTAACTGTAGGGCATTGCCATGCCAAAGAGAAGTTAACTTGCTACCATTTCTCCCACATTTTCTGGGAATGAAAAGAACTGAATAAATAGACAGCTTGTAAAGCAAGTTTACTTAAGTTATAAACAAATAAGTCCCTGAGGCATGGTCATGTATCCAAGGCTTCTTCTGCCAACAATCTTGGCATTGATGGTGCAGAAAGAATGATAAAAAATTGCCCTGCAAAAATGGGTCAGATATGAGTAACTGAGATGAGGCACTGACCTGTATTCACAGACAACTTGTGTGATAATTTCAGGTGACACATCCCAAATCAAGTATTAGATTTCTGGGCTAGCTTTTTGATTGCTGGCTTCTTTTATATATACGATCTAGCAAGCATAAGAAAAGAAAATACTTATTTCAGTCTTCTATAAAGAGTTTTCTAAAAAGGATAATGCCATAGGAAGTACCTGGTACATGCAGAAGCACAGCAGGTGTTATCTACCTTGAGGGTGATCAGATGGCCACAGCCAAAAACTAGGACATAAACATTTGCCAGGAGGGGTTTCAGAATGGACACTGCATCGTAAATAAAGCCACATAATCAGACAAATACACAATCTGTTGTCACCTGCAGTGTTTTTTTTTATGAACAGTTCACTTCAAAAGTACCATGACAAAATTCCAAGGCCAAATCTTCAGCTAAAGTCACAGAATCAGAGAGCTGTTGATATCAGAAGGCACCTCTAGAGATCTTCTAGTGCAACCTCCATGCTCAGAGGAAGGTCAACCAGAACACGTTGCTCAAGGCTGTGTCATCTTTTCAATATCTCAAGAAACAGAGATGTCAAAACCTCTCCAAAAAAGCTGTTTCAGTGCTTCACCACCTCCCATCAAATTTATTTTTCTTATGTTTAAATTGCATGTTGTGTCTGTCAATTTGTGCCAGTTGCCTCTCATCCCTTCACCAGATACTGTGGTGAAAAGTCTGGCTCCATTTTCCTTACTTCCTCCCAGATCAGCTGTTTATACACATTGGTAAGATCCCCCCCGAGACTTATATTCTCCACACTAAACAATTGCAACTCTCCCCTCATATGTCAGATGCTTCAAAACCATAATGATCTTAATGGCTCTTTGCTGGACTTGCTCCACTGCATCCATGTCTTTCTAGCACTGGGAAGCATCACCCATCATCACTGAGGTAAACTGATTTATACCATCCTAGACCTGGCCTTCCATGTGCGGTCACTCTAGAAATAAAGGGATCTCTAACCGCAGGATTACATTGAGTATATACAAAAATAAATGTTCTGTTTGATTCCAAACTCTGCCAGGAATGCTGAAAGACAACGAGCATTTATACCCATTCAAGTTCGTTTTCATGCACATGAATTCAGGTAAATTTCCATTCAGCTGTCTTAAAGATATTCGGGCCCTTCATACTTTAAATTTCTTTTCTGACTACTTTGAACAGGTATTGACATGCTAAGAAGATTTTATTTTAAGAATTCAAGCTTGCTTTGGAAGCAGTCTTAATAAACACAGCTGTACTCTGTAGACTTGGTTGGGAAGGAAGAAGTTACAGTGTTTGTAAATTATTTGTGGCACCTCATGAGAATTACTGAATTTGAAAAGTATATATCAGCATGATTTTTTTTTCATGAGCTAAGGAAAGTAGGATGAGAGTCCTAGCATTTCTTGCTGTTGTTTTTAGCATTGGCCACACCACCTGAATTCTCACAAAAAAATAGGACAATACAAAACAGAAAGTAGGACATTTAATCATTCTGCACTGCTTGGAACTTGGATTCAGCAGCACATCAAGTGTATGCAATTAGCACATTGAGATGCACTGTATAGATGAACCCAAATATTGACAAGGGTATGCTTGAAATACTCATCAGTAGTTCATCTTTTAATGTTTTGTCTTAAGAAAACAAATTTCAAATCTTTTACTTGAGAAAAAAAAGCAGGGAAATCATAGGTTTCAATCTGTTTTCTTTACCACTAATAACAGAATGTCTTCTGGACTGCCTTCTACATTAACTTGATTTCTTGCAGAACAGACTTTTGCATACACAGACTCCCAGGTTTGGCCTCAATCATCTCCCTTATGTTACTACTCACATCCAATTCTGACATCATTAAGCAGAAGGGTTTCAGGAAGTTGCTACCTAAAAGTCATTTTATTCCTTTTGACATTTTTGTAAATGCTCAGATTTTTATGAAAATGGCATTTTGCAGGAGGAGACAAAACATTCTCAGAGAAAATTTCTGCCTGTCCAGCCTTAAGTTCATTACACTGACCAGCTGGTCCCTTCCAGACTGCTTCCTTGCCATCCCAAGCGTGTAAGCCCTTGTTCCCGTCAAAACTGGGCCAGTGTCTACAGAAACAGAATGCTTCTGTACACCATTATTTAGCCAACGGCTCATTTGGAACCATCCACCATCTGCCTTTCTTTCCCACAAAGACAGGAAGGATCTCTTAGTCACACATGCCTCCTGTTCAGCTCTTCTTTTCCAAAATCTCTAAGGCCGTGTGTAATCTGTGAAGCCATGGCATTAATGCTAGTACAAACTGTCACCACTGGGTTGTCCCAAAGCTTTTCCCACCATGAAGCCAGGTCTTGCCACTTTGTCATATCCATGTCTTCCCCTTGCAGGACATTCATTCTGGCTTTCCCAGCATGATATCCTCGCAAAACGGTTGGTTTTCCTTGGATACTTGGAGACTTTCCTCCTCATGCCTGAGGCCACCAAGTTGGCAGGGCTCAAGCATCAAAACTCAAGCCCTTTTTGAACAACTTTCCATTCTAGTCAGTTGGCTGAACCTTCAGAAATATTTGCTGCAGTTTTCTTGCACCTCAGGTATTTGGAATGGTGTGAAAAATCCCTTTTTTCACTGTGGCCCTCTGCTATGCAGAAAGTCGCCTGCTCCTCTTGCTTCTGCTGGCTGAGCTCTTCCAAACAGCTTTGGTGGGCCACTTCTTTCTACTAGTACTTTTTTTTTTTTTTTTGGTATAATACTTGCTAATACTTCTTGGCTTGTCCTGTCCCAGCACCCAGAAATGCCTGATGGATCCCTCGGGTGTTTATTTTATTCTAGATCAAAGCAGCGAGTTCGCCCGCTCCCTGGGGATGTACAAAGACCACCATGGGGGCATGGCACGCTGGCTCTGGAGGGCTCAGGCTGGCCAACCACCATCCACGTGTGGCCAGCGCCACCCCCTAGGGGACACTGCGGCGTCACCTCGACACCCCCCGCAATGATGTGTTTTAACAGGGTGGCTCTAGGTTGCCGCTTTCGGCGCGGGGGACCGTTGCTGCGTCAGCGCGCTCAAGACCCTGCGGAACCACTGGAAGAAAACGGCGGTCGGAACCTGCCTGCTCTCCTGGGGGGGCACCTGGCTCTACGGCCAGCCCCGGTAACTGCCGCCGGGCCGGGGCAGGGCGCGGAGAGCGAGTCCCCCCCGCCCGGCGAGGCCCCGGGGGGGCGCCGCCGCCATGGGAGGTGCAGGGCCGCCCTCAGGCTTTTTCTCCTTTTTCCTCCCCTAGGAAGAGGAAGGGAGGAAGAGGAAGGGAGATGCCCCAGCTGTTCTCAAATTGCTAAAGCTGAAGCATCTTTCAGAGCCCTTCCCTTACTTCCCCTGTGGGTGCTGGCCTGGGGTTTTCTCTTTGGAGAAATGCCCATCTGGCTTTCGAAGTGTATTCCAAAGCAGAGGCGTCTCCTGGGGACAATTGCTGTTGCTGATGCATTAAGTACCCCCATGGTGGTGGTCCTTGTATCCTGAAAATAGCTGCCAAACTCTCTAATTATAAAATAAAAATAAATAAATACATGAATACGAAAAAGTTCCAAAATCTACCTGGCTTTTGATCCAGCTCAGGTAAAACTGGTTGTAGCTCTGGCAGTGTGACCGAGTAGCTTTAAACAAACTTTGTGTCAAAGTAGCATGAGTCTTTTTTGGGTCACCTGGAGAGGAGAAAGATTTTTCTCTTCTAACTTAAAAATGCAGCCAGCCGTATATGTGTCACTGAGTTATTTGCTTTTAAGCAATTTTCTAAAGACGAATGAAAGTGTAGGTCCTGTACGTGCAAGTGATTCCTCTGATAGAAATCAGGGGTAGCAGAATGGAAATGAGCATCATGTACGGAAGGTTTCCATGGGAATGTGGTCATATGCCCTGCAGGTTTCCCATCTCCTTCTGCAATGGTGTCAGGTCTACCAAAGCTGGGCAGATTTCTGTTGCATGAGAATTTGCTTCTGAGCTGCGCCGCATTGGCAGCAATTGTGCAGACTTCTGTGGTGCGTATGTGTTGCTGTTGTCACGAGCATAACTGGAAGGAACTCATCAGCAGTACTCAGCAGTAACTATCCTGTAACATAAATCATATAGAGCTGGGTATCATGACCATGTTTGTCTGAGAACCAAATGTTCCCTATAGTAGTCAAAATCCTAATTTACTGTTTTGGAATAGCTGAGCCTATATTTGAATCCCAGTTCTTTAAGATTAGAGTTCAAATACTTCATGAAAATGCAAGTATAGCCCAATTATTTTTTAAATTGTTCTTTCTGTTGCTTTTGTATCTTCTGTCATTATCTTGTGCCTTTCCTATTGTTAAGCCAGGAGTTTTTCACAGCATTTTTTTCTGCTTACATTAAAATGTTGTCAAAGCCCCAGCAGTAAACTTACGAAAATAAATCTGCTTATTGTGTATGTTATACTTTCCTTTTTGTTTATCTCCTCCTGCCTGGGGAACTTAGCATTAAATCAGTCTTTGTTTGAATGGTACATCTGTTTTGGTTGCTTGCTTCTTACCTGAAGCATTAGAGCTTAGATAACTGCAGGCAAAGAGTAAAAATCTCTCCATCCAAACTTTTTTTTTTTGTAATTGCTGACTGTAGGACAGGTTATGGTAAGAGGGTGAATTACTTCAGACAAGCAAAAATGGAAGCAACAAGGTCATGATTTCATGAAAATACCTATATGGACCTACATAAAACATAGCGCATGAAGTATGGAGTTTACTGCTGTGTTGCAAACACAAGTGTCTGTTCTAAACAGGTTAGTTTTTTTCGATGCCTTCCTGTAGTGTCAGTGGGTTCCCGACCTTCCACTTTTGCTTCTAAAGACTTGACCTTTAAATTCAGATAAAGTAGCAAGATCTATGTTCTTATGTGCAGTTCTATCATTCTAGATACCTTCTAGCCAGAATAAACTTAATAGGCAGAAATTTATGTGCAAAACAAGGAGGCAGAAATTGCACAGTAGCACTCCTGTGAGAGGCTGCCTGGCAGGTCAGAGCACCCTGTGATCTTCCCCTGTTCTCTTGCTTAGAGTAGTTGTCTTTATCAATCTTCTGTTGCTGCAGATACTGATGGCAGTGAACAAAGTGCATTTCAGACATGGATACTGAAGAGGTATTGAAATAGGACGTTAAGGAAAAGACTGAATGTGGTCCTGGTGCATATGGTGAAGGGTCACTTGAGGAGACATAACCAATCAGATATAACCAATCTCTGTTTTTTTGTGCTTTCTAGAAGTGGATGTGTCTCTATACTATTGGTTTCAGCTGTGTTCATTTGCTGTGTAGTTCTCTTTGTTCAGGATGTGTGAAAACAAATCAGTGATCCAGGAGAAATTGAAACTTAGTACTGGTGATATGCTGTCAACCTCAAATGAATAAAGAGGAAAATATGAAAGGCAAACAAACAGAAACTGAACTTTTGCTTTATAAATGTAAGTGCTTAAGGTTATTTGTGTCAAGTGCAGGCTCAGTGCTTTAACCCAGAAAAAGTAAAAAAAAAAATAAAATGTGTACAGATCTCGTTTTTAAGTTTTCCCTTTTATCCAGACAGGATAACACAGCATTTCCTAACTATAGCAAGGAGATGCAAGCTAAGAAATCTTGTGTTGACAGACTGCTCTGTGTACTTTGATGTAGCCTGGAGCACAGCTATAAAGTACTACTTTCAGAGGTTTAAATTCTGTTTGTATAAATTGACAACTGTTTAGCCATTTCCTGATCTCTGTGGAGGATTGTTTCTGCCAGAGTGTAGAAAAATGAGGACTAACAGAGGAGTCTGATGCTAGGAGTACAAAAACACAAAGTGTCTCAGCAGGCCTTCCATGCTGCTCTGTGCATACAGGTAGCTTTACCATGTGGCTGATGGATAATGGGCAGTAGGGATCCCTATCTGCAGCATCTGCTTTTCTTCCAAATGTGGATATTTTTCCCTCACCATGTCCCCGCTGTTCCCAGCTTCTCTTTTTAAGCACCAATTATGCTGGACAACGAGAGGTGCTTTTATGCCTGTACACTAACTGCTCCAGATAACATTTCAAGGGGCTAATGAGGGAACTGTGCCTGGGCCATGCTGCCTGTGAGGCTTTCTGTTATCAGTCTCTTGAGGCTAAATTACTATGCATGAGGCATATTTAATTAGACTCATATATGTCCTTTTAGAATGGATTGAAGGTTTAGTGAAACCTTGTGCTTCAGTTTCTGGAGTTGTCGGAGTTTCTGATGAAGGGGCTCACTTTAGCATGGCATCACCTGTTTCTCATGAAATAATACTTAAAATATTTGAGTTCCTGCATTCGGGATAGAGAATAATACCCTTGTAGTCATAGAAAAGTAAAGGGAGAAATTATGCGGTCACATCTGAGGTTGTCTCCCTTTAATTTCTATGGATTACATGAATTCACAAATGGGAGTCAATTTAGTCTAGCTTATAATATGGCAAGTATGAGAGAGGCTGAATTCAATATACTAGATCAAAACTTAGAGGTTATGCAGATATGAGCTTATACACAGTATAATTGTGTGTAATTATATAACATTATTCTGTTTAAAGACAATACGTATTATAGGAGAGTTATTATGATAAAGTAATAAACTGCTTTTGTTTTTTGGGGAGTCTTTTGTTTTTCAGAAGGTTAAAGAAAGTGCATGCAATGTAATACTGACTGTTCCTGTTGGGTGGCTGGTGGTGCTTATTGACTTTATTGTATAAGTAGTCATAGAATAAAATTTAAATTCACTCTTTTGCTTAAGTATTACCTAATTCTCAAAGAAGATGGCAAGATACCATAAGATTGCTTGACAATTTCCACCAAGTTTGAGAGCTTTTGAAGCTCCTCTCACTTTCCCAGCTCATGTCCTGAATCATCCTTTCTAACAAGAGCTATTGCTACTGTTTATATGTCCAGATGGTACAGTGAGTTGCCAGCTATGTCAAATCAGCAGAAATTTAGCCTTGTCCGGTGTGTGAACATCTATCTGCTAAACTGATTGTCAGACTTGGCCAGACTTTTATGATTATGCTGTAGATCAGCTGATCACCATATATCAGGATGGGGACTTATTTGTTGAATGGAGGCAGCAGACTCCTCAGATACTTAGCTTAACTCTAGATCTGTTAAGTTGTTGACTTTCTGTGTAGAAAATACTGAAAAGGCTTATGGGCCTTGACTCTGTGCCAGTAGTCTGAGTGTCAGTGTTACCTGTAACTTGATTGCTAGTCAATCTCTGTTGACCAGCTGCTAACTCGCTTCATCACCTTCCTGCATACCTCTTCCCAAATAACTGCCTGCATATTATTAATCTCATAGAAAGTGTTGAGGGTAGATTCTAAGTCTTGGAGGAAGCTGATGCAAACTAAGATTTGACTTCTAATGTCCTGGTAGCTGGAAAAGCTGGAAATAAATGCTTATATCAAGGAAAAAGTAGTCTTGCTATTTGGAAACAGTCAAAATGTTCTTTAATAGCATAAACTCTCTTTTAGGAGTTCTGTTACAGTTCTTGAGAGGTGGTACTGCATGCACAGCTTTGATCAAGGTCCCCTTGTGTATTTTCACAAAGTAGTGTGTTTTCATCTAGATATGAAACTTGAATACTTTTAGGCTTCTTGTTGCTTGAATGTACTTGGTAGTCTTAGATTTAATGCTGATAACCCTCTTGGAAATGGAATCTCACGTTGAACTTCTGTCTACTGTCATTTGTAGTATGACCATTTCTAGGGGAGTTTCTTTGCCTGCCTTTAAGCTGTGGGCTGACTTTGCTACTGCCCTTGGTTTCAAATAGTTTTTACAAGTTTGAAGTCTTCTGCTTGCCAAGTTCATTGCTGCTGTGGTTGACTTTTCTTCATGGGAAACTTTATTCATCTTTTCATCTAGGCCTCTGCTCACACTTGTGCAGAGGATACCCATGCATACTAAATTATGCAAATCTCTATTTATGTGCAACAGTGTCAGTTCCCAATTTTGGCTGAAAACATCTATGGCAGCAGTAGTTACTAGTCCTGTGCTGGGGATGTTGAAGACACAAAGGAGAAAATCCACAATTCAAGCAGATCTTACAGACGTTGAAATATCTTACAGATGCTTCATACACACAGTCCTTCGTGTTCCGGTATATCTGCTTTGTGATGAGTTGTAGAGAGCTGCTTTCTATCTATGTTTTTTCCTTGCTTTGACGTAGCCCTATGTTTGCTGTTGGGTTTTTCTAAGGAGTCTGGGCCTTCAGGCAGCTTTCATGCATGAAATGTTTACAGACTCCTTTGTGTTTCTTCAACTTGAGTAAAGAGGATGGTGAAAACTTAGGATCAGAACAGTTTCATTTCAATAAAGAAAAGAAATGAACTGCAACAGAGTTATGGAGGTGGCTAAATGATTTTCCAGTGTGCACTCAGTATTAAACACCTGCCTGCTCTGTTCTCTGGGGGTTCTGTGCTGTGGCTTGGCAAGGCTGCAGACCTTGCAAGACTGCCCGAAATCTTTGCTGGATCAGTTCAGGTTCCATCAGTGGGTTTGGTTTAGGACATCTTGCTTTTCTCATACCCCACTTCTGTTTCCTCTGCCTCCCTTTTTTTTTTTTTCTGATTACACAAGTCAGCCCAGTTGTAAGCCCCTGTAGCAGCTGATTCTGACAGCAGGAAAGCAGCCTGTACTGGTCAGCCTGGATGCTGTACTGCACATCTGGTTTGCTTTAGATTCTAAGTCGCGTCTATAAGAGCATAAGGGACATGTAAAGTAAGAACTCATTCTAGTTCACTGTCAATATGAGGCTAGTCGTAAGAAATGTTCATGTGTTCTTTCAGGCAGTACAGTAACTTGATCTGTATTTTCCCTCTGCCTCCACCTTGTCATGTTCAAATGTTATTGACACTGCTTTGTTACTCTGCAGTCCTAGTCAATAAAATACAAAAAATAGACAATACTTTATGTTTCTAATTCAAATCTCTTTTACTCTTGGGACTGGTAAGCAGGCATATTTACATAATCTAATACATACTGAGGTAGAAGACCAGAAAAATTACTTTTTGGGTGTTTTTTCTGTGATATTTTTGTAATTGTGTTTAGTAATTAGTTTGACCTGTGGAGGCTGATGGTCTCACCTATATATGGATATCTGTCCTCCCCCCCTTTTTTCCCCTCCTTAATGGTAATGATAGTTGATCAAATGATCAGTAAGTAAGTAATCAGTAAGTACTGTGTTAAGGAAAGAAAATTAAAGATGTGACTCATTGAATCAATAGGAAGCCTAGGATGGCCTGCCTGGGATTCTATGCATGGTGTTTTACTAGAGAGATAAGCAAATCATCTATAAATTACTTCACTGCATGTCGTTCTTCTAGTGTAAGAACCTGAGCTGTTCCTTCGGACACCAGAATGAAATGCCTCAGAGTGGACTTGCTTCTTTCTTCAAGTGTTTTAGTGCAGGGCAAAATAAGCTGCATGTGACCTCTAAACTACCATCAAGCCTATTTTTTATGGTTAACACTCGGCTCAGTTGAAGCGAACTTGCATCCTTGACTGCTGCGTTAAGGATCTTTGCAGGCTGGGGCAAACAGCACAGTATATTTTGCTTGCATTTGAAAAGTTGCATTGGAATCAATTTTAAAAATGATTCACACTAGAGCAAAAGGTGGCAGGCTCTGTGAAAAAGTTGCTGGCTGACAACATGACCCAGTTTGATCTCTGGACAAAGCAGCATCAATGTGAAGAAAACAGATAAGGTGGACTTGGCTAAAAGTTGTAAATAAGGTTAGGGCAGCAGTTCCGCACGGCCGTTGATTGATCAGTAATAGTTCAGCTTTACATGTCCAAGTGGCAATTATTGAGCTTTTGCTCTGTCCACATGCAGTCACGGGGGAGGGAAAACTAAAGGTCACTATAAAAGAACTTCTAATCAGCACTGCAGTGTGGGCTTCTTAGCCTGTCTGCTGCCCTGATTGGACTGGAATTATCTGTGGGAATTTTTCCTAGCTTGGTATGCAAGTCTTTTCATAAAGATAGTTATTTTAAGTAGTATTCTTTCCTAAAATTACTGCAATTATAAACACCTGCTGCTCCTGTAAGCAGTATTTCTGATTCTTAATACAAATGGCTTATTGCAGAGGTTTTAAATAGCAAATATTAAGTTAAAGACATGCTTATGTCTCCATTTTTTTAGTACTCCAGTTACATGCTATCCTGGTGATACATCATTTACCTATTTTCTTTTTTCATGCTCAGTTTTTTCCTTTCGTCTTTTTATGTTTACCAAGAATACTTCTGTTGCTCTTTATCTACAGGATTATTTTTTGCAGTACTCAACTTTGTTCCTGAAATCATTCTGCTTTTCTTTTTGAGACACTGCAGCATCTTTTGGTGATGACAGAAAGATCAGCTTATGTAGTTCCAGTGCTGGATGAACAGTGTAAGCTGGTAGAGTTGAATAGATCTCATCCCTGTTTCAGTCCAAAAATTCTGTGTCTTGACTTTTGTTCTGCCGTTTTCACTTCAGAATTTGGCCTAATTCTGCCTCAAGCATGCTGCTTTCCTATCAGTTGTCAATTGGTTTTCATTTTTGTATAAATTTTGGAGCATATGATGCTGGCTGTTTTATGTTATTGTACTGAAGATTTTTATAACCTACTGTCTTGTCAGAGAAATTTTGATGTTTTTTTTTATTTTTTCTGATTTTAGCAAGGAGAGGGAAGTGGCCTTGGTAGTTAGAGGACATGTGAAACTTGGAGCACTGCAGAAGAACACTCCTTTTTTTTGGCTTTGAAACCCGATAGGTTAATTTTTGGTCTGTGGAAGAACTGCTGCCTTGTTAATGCTGTACATGACAATGACAAGGACAAATAGTAGTCTGGAATGTTTTGCCTTTTTTTTTTTTAACGATACTCAGTAGCATCTCTAATACTGCTATTTTCTTATTTACTTTTAAATTTTAGCTGAGGTGACCTGAGTGACTTACTGTTTTATTCCATCTTCAGACCTAGGTGGATGGCAGGTACTATGTTGACTTGAGTTCAGCTCACAAACTGATAGAGAAGGGCGCTCACATTTATAACACTCAAAGATTTAAGTCCGTGTAAGTTACATTTAAGGCTACTCTTAATCCTTTCTGTGCTGCCAGAATGGTGAGTAGCTTCAGCGTAAATAACAGGCAGTTTTAACATTAAAAAAAGAAAAGATTAGATCTTGAGTACAGTTATGTAGCATTTTTAAAAAGGTCACAGTTATACAGTGTCTTATAGCTTATGTAATGTTAGCAGACTTAGAACACTGGTCTGTTTTCTACTTTACAATATAAAGGGCACTTTATATTTTATACATGTGTGCTTAAATGGGTGTTTTTTATCCTTAAAAATATGTCTTAACCTTGATTTTAAATCTCAGGGCTGTCAAAGCTTTTATAAGAAGGCTATGCACCTGTTTTTGGAAATGGGGCAAGTTGTTTAAAACTTATTCTACCTAATGGCCACTCTCTATTTTGTCTTGTCTGATAGTGATAACCTGCTACGAAGAGCTGCGTGCGAAGAAGCCCAGGTAATACCATTTAAAGTGATAACATTGGATTAACTCCCCCCCGCTTTTATCTTGGTAGTGCCAGGCTCCTGAGATTTCGCCAGCAGGCCCTCCCGCTGTGACAAACCTGATAAAGAGGCCCTTCGGCTTAAGTGCCAACCGATGGACAGTGCCACCAGCCGCCCCCTGGGGAGCTGTCCCTGTTATGTCCTGGCCTTGCTGCTGCCATGGCCAGTGCAATGGGAGCACTAGAGTAATCCTGCTCCAGCTGCACCATCCTGCCCTTCTGCAATTTAGTTACTGTGCGCCTGCAAAGTTCTGTTTGAAGGTGATTTGTTGGCATGAGAGAAGATAGAAATCTCACATCACAACAGTGCAAGTTGGTCCATGTTAGTGCTCAGCTGGAGAGACCTTCTCTTTGCTCTTCAATATAGAGAGCCTTTATCGAAGATATTAAGCCTGAAGTCTGACCTCATGTTTTTTGAGACCCATGTCCTGGGTACTGCGTGGAGATCACTCAGTGTGTGATCACTGACAAGAGAACTAATGTTCCGAGAGAGGGAGGCTAGTTGTTCTCTGAGGATAGTGGCTGTTGCTTTTTGTAGTTTGTAGTATTTGTTGGCAACAGGCAGTGGTCAAATTTCCCTACTGTACAACTCTATAAAGAAATCTGTCTCTTAATAAGCCTTCTTTGATTGGTGCAAGCGCTGCTGCTCATGGCTTATATCATGGCATAGTTACTGTTGACCTGCTCTGGTTAAAGCACTGGGGTGGTATAAGATTTTTAGGGTCTTCCAGCCTCCTACAAATAAATCTTATTCTAAATTAGCTTCTCCATGCCAGAACTGAGAGGTTTTGCAGGTGTGATATTGCTCCCATCACGACTGTGTACTCAGTCCAAAAACAAATGGTGAAAAATACTTCTCACATTAAAGAACCTTGCTTGAGATTACCCTGCTTTGTAACTGTGGTGCACCTGAAATAGCCCAGTTTTAGCCTGTCGGATGTTGAGGGAAAGATGTTTACAGCAGCTTGCTCTGGGCTGTGGAGCTTCTTCACAGAATTAATAAAACAAAGCTCAAGTCTCATGAGTTGAAAAGAAAAACCTTTTTCTGAAAATCCAGTTTTCATAATTCATACCTTTGGAGTCAAGTGGAATTCCAGTTGATAATATCAGTTCTTGATTTTTATGTTTTCTATATTTATTTTCGCTGCTTAGATATCAAGATCGTTAAAGGTTTTTTTTAATTATTATTGTTATATGTTGCTGATAAATAACAGCTAATACTTCAATATCTGTTTGCCCAGAGAGATTTTATCAATGTGTATAAATATCTAAAGCAAGGGTGTAAAGAAGGCAGTGCCAAACTCTCTTCAGTGGTGCTCAGGATGGGATGAGTGCCAACGGACACAAAAGGAAATACAGAAATTCCATCTGAACATAAGAAAAAATTCTCAAGCATTTTTTAAAATAGTGCCTTTTAAAAAAAAAATCCTGCCTTTAAAATCTAGAATTTGTTTTAGCAATACCCCGTATATAACATAAATATCTAAGTATATATGATAAAGAAATGATTATTAAGATTTCCAAGACTCCAGAAGTCTGCACTTCTCAGTTGATCTGTACCGCTGGCTGGGAGTGGGTCTGGAAAATAAACTCTGGGTTGCTGGGTCTGTGGGAGTCCAGGAGGATATGAAGACTACCCATGGGTACTAGACATATCGAACGCAGGTTGTTAGTTAATAACCTAGTTTGTAAAAACAAATATTGTCCAAAGGAGGGGAAAAGAAAAAAAGAAAAAAAAAAGAAAAAGAGGAGAGATTGAGCAGAATGCTCAAGTTTCTGTATTCATCAATAAGGGGGTTTCTCCACAGTTTGGCTGAAGAGCAGGACAAAGGGAGGGGAGACTGAGTGGAGCCATGAGCCGAGAAAGACAAAAAGAGCCATCCTTTACAAAGGAGGGAAATAGGGCAATTCCCCCACATTCTTCAGCAAGGGGGACAAAGGAGTTGGTGAGCTCAGGTGAGAACAGATGGCGGGAGGCCGGAGTTCGGTGTAGGCGGGCCGGGAAGGCTGTAACTTCTGAGTACCTTGGCCAATGGGGAAAAGGAGAGGGCGTCCCTCGGTCGGGAAATTAGGATAAAAGGGGGGCTGCGTCCCCCAGCAATTTGAGAGACCCCACAGGGATATGCCTGGTGGACTCTCCCTTTATTCGAATAAAGTTTTAGGACTTCTCTGTCTCCTTTTGGACATTCAGTTCTTGACAGTGAGATTTTCCGCACATGTCATTACTCAAAAATTGTTTGTGAGTGTGAACCTTGTAAGGTTGTTTGTTTAGAGTAAGCAAATATATCACATTGTACCCCTCCCCAGGAGAGTATTAATGAAGTCTCCATGATTCTCCTGCTTCAAAAAATGCAATAAAATAAATCATTGGTTTCTTTTCAGCTGTTTTTGACTAAAGCTAAAGAACTGTTGATTTCTTCCTTTTTCCTTGACCTTTCTTCTGCCCTCATCAACTTTCTTCATCCCTTTCTTTTACTGAAAAAGAAATTTGTATATTTAAAGCTGCATATCCAGCTGCACACTTTTTCTTAAGAGAGGATTTCTCAGCGAAGTGCCAAGTGGAATTGATCTCAGCTTTGAACAGCCAGTGATCACTACAGTTATTGTGCTTATACAATTAATGTACAATGTCCACATTCTTCAGTTTGAAAATTCCTGCCAAAGTATTAGCTTTCAAGATAAAGGGAAAAGAAGACAGACACTTGTCTCTTTGCCTTGTGTTTAGTGCAATAGTTTCTTGGTCTTGGGATTTACAGATGTGACTGGATACAGTGTCACCCTTGTGCGCATTAAAAAAGGCTGATTTAGTGTGGTAAAGAAGGCTTTGGTAGGTGAGGTGAAAGGGATTTATGGAGGGCAAGTAGTAACATGTGGAAACCTTGCATTTTCTTGCCTCCTTTTGTGATAAAAAGCTACAGGAATAGGTAAAAATTGCTAGAATGCCCAAGAGTCTACATTAAGTAATTCCCTAATAACCTAAAAGGCACCTATTTAAAATTGGATTAAATGTCGAAGAGGAATTCCTCAAGTGTTTTAGGGAAGCAGTAGGAAGAAAAGGTATCAGAGAAGCAGTGAGCTTGCTTATTGGTCTGGGCAGACTCTCTGATAATGGTTCATCTTCAAGCATAAGCATAGAAAATACAAAAGAGGAGAAACAGGAAAGGAAGGACAGACATGGAGAAAGATGCCCAAAGAAGGGGAGAGGCAGGTGTATCAGAATTATATATAAGGAAAGAAAATCAAGTAATCTTAGAACCGAGGATAGTTCCTCAATCTCTGCCCATGTCCTAGAAAGTTAGGGACTGACATTAAAAAAAAAAAAAAGGTGAAATCATAAAGATGAGGTTGAGATTCCTTTTGACAATTATATTGGCTGTTGCTCAGTGTAATGATCCCTGAACAGGAGACCTGTACAGTGATGGGAGGTGGAAGTCATTTGATTGTCATGAGGATTAAAGCCCAGTGACATTTGTGGGGATTCATTATTTTGCAGTGTTTTACCAACGTGTTTACAAGAGAAAGCTGAACTCTGCTTTTCTTTTCCTCTTAGGTTTATGGCGATCAGCCGCTTCCGTCCAATATGCCTCTGAAGAGAGCAACAGTGTTTCTGAACCCAGCAGCTTGCAAAGGGTAAAGTCCCCCTCCCTTGCACTCCTGTGTATCCTCTTTTTCTGTATTTCTAATCTGCCATTCACTATTAAAAACACAAACCTTTTAAGCTCTTTTTTTTTTGCCTTCCTTTGATGCCAAGCTGCCTCTATAGAATGATTGCAAAATTTAATTGACCAAAATAATGGGGTTGAGAAAGCGAATGCTTGAGTTGGAAGAATGACTCCAAATTATTTAAAGAAAAAATATTTCCTTTATCCTATGTTAGGACCTTTATCACTACTTTTCTACATGATACCTGTTTTCTTCCTCTGTTTTCCTCCTCAAAGCCTGTAGAAATAGGGTATGACCTGCTTTTCCTTGAGAATTGAAGTTAGCCAACAGTGATTGTTTTTGTGGGAACCTGCCCTTGAAAGGGATGTGCCCGCAAACTGAGAGGCTAAATAAGGGCCTAGCACAGAACTGCTGGGAGAGGTTGGCTGCCCTTTTTTACATACTCATTAGCAGAAAAGCAGTCATCCTAGATATGATACCTGTCTGTTTCTGCTGATCTGCTGAGCTCCTTATCAGTTGTATCTCCATGGGGGTTCCGTAGCAATAGCAGAGTAATGATTTATCTGACATGGAAATGTGTGGACTTACATATTTTTGCTCAAAATGCCCACGGCTGAAAAAAACATAGAGCTAATAATTTAAAGTCCCTGTCCTCTAGACTCATGTTTCTGCTTGTTGCAAGTAATTTATAATTAATGCCATGATTATTTTAGTATGCCTTTATGGGCATAAAATGCCTCAATCCTTTAAAAGAAGGTCAGGTAAAATTTTGCTTCTGAATTTGCTTAACAATATGTAAAAGTATTTTATTTTAAATTCTCTCTGCAAACCTAGATTGGCCTTCTTCGTGGTTTTGAAGCCTGGTGCTCTGTAACTCATTAATTTTCTAATAAATTTCTTTCTGAAGATCTTGTTTTGATTTTTTTAAAGTTATTTTTGAAGAGGGCTAGATAACTCTTTCTGCATTTATTAAAATTGGAACAGAAGGCTGACATATCTGAAGTAAGAGTCTAGAAAATTAATACATATGAACCAAACCAAATCTCATTTTCCTGACTGACAGGCTGAGGTGACTTATTATGTAAATTATGTGTTCTTCTCTTAACTAGATTTCTTCTTGTTTCTTTCATTTTTGTCTTTTTTAGCCACCAGGCTAATCAAATAGTTTTTTCTCTCTATTTCTTCTAGCAAAGCCAGGACTCTTTTTGAAAAGAATGCTGCTCCAATTTTGCACTTATCTGGCTTGGATGTAACCGTGGTTAAGGTAAGAATTGGTAGGTACTGCTATCCATACATACATTTATGTGTGTATGTATACATACATATGTGTATATATATATATATATATATGTATGTATGTATATAGTCTGCTATGCTTTCTCAGAGAATTGAATTTTGGATGCATTCGAAAATCTTTGTTATCTGTAGGCCTCTGGTGGAAGGGAATAAATATTGAAATTTTAAACTGGGACTGAATTGACAGTTTAGTGACTGCACCAAGTTTTAAAATTCAGCTAAAACTGTGTATATGTTTAGGCAGCTCTTCTGTAACTGATATTTGCAAAGGATTTCTATATACTTGGGTGCTGGCTGGTAGAACATGCTTATTGCTGTTGAAATTGTCAATTCTTCTTGAGCTTACTGAATTCAGAAGTGAAGAACTTAGTCAAGCAGTGGGAATAAAAGATAAACAATCTTTTATTTTTGTCTTGAAAATATTTCAGTATATTCCCAAATAATTTAACATTCCCATCAGGAAAGCAGAACTTGAGCTGTAAATGGTATGAATTTGCTGAGATGTTTTCCTTGGAAAGAGAAGAAAGAGTAAACATGAAGGGACTGTGATCTCTCTGAAGATTTTTGAGGCTGTAATATTTTGATTGTTCAGTAGTCCTTATGTCCAGGAGATAAAGTACTTTAAGAGATTATTATCAATCTTTCTGTCTTGAAATCTTTTTGGTAAGGCTTTTTCTAGTGTTAAATTCTAATTTTTATTAATGCATTTCTCTGTTCAATAAAAAATATTTAGTCTAAGTATAAGAGAAAAATTTATTCTTGAAAACATTAAAGTGACACTCCAGCTTCAGAGCTGGCAAGTTAGCAAAACAGAGCTGGGCCTGCAGCAGAGATATTTTTTGCACAGAATAGTTTTGGTGACTTGATAAGTCAGCGCTGTCTTTACTGCAACAGTGGGCTTTCCTAGCCTGCCATTGGAGAACAACCTCTTCTGCATCTGACTGCCTTTCAGAGAAGGCAAAACAATAAATCAGGACCACTTTGACTGCTAAAGATGATAAGATTTTTTTTCTGCAACAGCTTGCCAGTGTTTGATTATATTTTGTTTAACTGAAAATGTACCTGAGAATTTGATTATTGCAGGGATATTCTGTGTATTGAATGAGGGTTACTGTGATATTTTATTTATGCCTTGCATGTGTGTATGTGTGCTTGCTTGTTTATATTCTGTTAAGCAGTAAACTTACCTCCTAAGCTAAAAAAAAATCGGGGAATATAATGCAAGATACACATTCCTTTGTACTGTATTAGTGCAATTAGAGGACTAGTATTAAGTAAATGGTTAAATTGCTCTTTTCTTTCTATGGAGAAGAAATGATAGAAATGGTCATCTGAATTCTCATGTTTGGGTTTCTGTTTCTTCAGACTGATTATGAAGGACAAGCAAAAAAGCTTCTGGAGCTGATGGAGAGTACAGACCTGATCATTATTGCAGGAGGGGATGGCACGGTACAAGAGGTACTGCAGGAGCTCTGTCCTGGTTTGTTGCATTTCGTAGTCAGACTGAGGGTGAGCGTGAGAAGACCGAGTCTGTACAAAGCGACAACATTAGAGTAGTTCTCACTGGTGGCTTCTCCAATTCAGCATCTGTGTTTTCAGTCAATGTTATAATTTTCTAGGGATAAGAAAACTCTGCTTTCTCAGTAGCCTAAAAGTGTCCATGGGAGGAGACGGAGAGAGCAATGTTTGATGTGACTGCCTTCCAGAATTTTATTTTATTTATTTATTTATTTTATTCCAGTGCAAGAAAGTTATCTGGGGAGACAAGTTTCCAACTTCTTTCTTTCTCCGTAATATAGCTGCAATTATTTAATTTTCACATTTAATTCCTAGCCTATCTGTACTCCCCAGGAGAAATGCGTGTTTTGCTAAGTGGGAGTCAAATAATTTAAGAATATTTTGGGAATGATAACAAAGCATAGTATGTGTTCAATAAATGCCTATCATCACGGCAGCACAGGAGCAAACAACCAGCAGAACTAGGAGGATAACCTGTCTTTCAAGACAGACTTTGTTTTATTAAAGCATCTCCAGAAGCGCTAACTACTGGCTTTGTAAGGGAAAGGTTAAATGAAATGCAATGGCCTTAAGAGAAAGGGGTCAAAATATGTCTGCAAGATTCTCCTGGCCTTAGAATTGATTACTGTTAATTGCACACTGAGCAATACTGCTGTCGCATTAAGCAGAGCCATCTGGGTCTATTCAGTGTTAAAATGTTTGTGCTGGCACTGGTTGTGGTGCCTGTATATCCAGAACCCTGCTATTTCCATCATTTTTAGCTCTCTGAACATGCATCCTTTCCCATGTAAGCAACAACAAACAGCACATTCCACAAAAGAGAAGCTGCTTCATAAATCTTTTCTGGAAAGCAAATGTGTGTTTGATTTCATAGCTTTGTGCTGTAACTGCTTTGTACTGTAAATATAAAACAAAATTCTCAAAGCTGAGCACTTCTGCTTTTTTTTTGTTTTAAGGTCGTAACTGGACTTCTCCGCAGAGCAGATGAGGTGAGGAAGTCGGTCGGTTAAAGCTTTGCTCGTTTGTTTCTTAGGGGCGTACGTCAGGCATTCGTTGGGATCTTTGGCCTCAGCTGTCTTCTCCAGATACTCTTGCTTAGTAATCACATGCCAGCTTTGTGCATAGAGGATTGGTCACACGAGTCCTGCAATTCTCCATATTGGTCCTCATTCCCTTTCGCAGGGAGTGCCGTGGCTCCCCAGCCAAGGCTTTGGGAAGTTTCCAGCTGCGGAGCAGGGATCATTGAGAAGCCAGATGCACAACTTTCAAAAGACCCATGGACCAGCTGTGTGCGCTGCTTTGTTTGGCAGAAGCATTGGGCAAAATATGTGGGGTTTTTTTTTTTTCTGTATTTGTACAGGCTTGAAACTGAATTCAGTTTCACTGTCCTTCTATTGCTTTATGATCGTTTTGCCGTTTTTTTTTCAAGCAGTGAATATCTACTTATTTAGAGGGTTGCAGGAAGCAAATGCTAACTTCTCAAGGTGGAATACTCATACTGGAAATGAGAGAGATTTTTCTTTTTGAAGAGGGAGGACAGTGTTCCCAAAACCTTCTGGCAGGAGCTGGCATAAACTCAATCAAATGACCTAGACAAGAATATGATGATATCCTTGGCAGCTAGAATTGTATCTGTTTAGGCAGTTGCTTTGTTTGAATGTGATGAGAGAAACTCTGCAATCATGCCAGTATTTTTAAAGGGGCATGAGCTATATCAGTTCAGAGAAATACATTTTTTAAATGTAAAAAATAGGTGTAATAGGTGGCGCATAAGACCTTTACTTGAATGAGTCTGGAAGAAAAAATGCTGAATGTTTTATTGGCTGTTTCTTCTCCTTTTTTTTACTGTAAAAACAGCTCCTCTAGCTTGTCCTGCTTTGCAGTCGTGTTTGCAGTGGACGTGCAGAGAGCCACTCTGTATCAGCACTCTTTTGGGTGGAGTACTGCACTGTGCTATTGCTGCTGTGCTCACTAGGTGTCTTTGGCCAGAGAATTCTTCTTGTCCCTCGTATTGCTGTGTCCTAGAAGGCAGGAGCTGCAGTTCAGTCCCATCACTTTGCACTCTACTACCCCTTTTTATTTGGGTATGTACAAGGTGGTTTGGAGATGCTGTTCCTAGCAGCCGGGAGAGCAGAGCGTGGCTGCATGAGCTGCAAGTAGCCTGTCTTCTGCATCTGTGAAACAATTCTGAAGAAATGGAAGAAGGATGTTTGAGATGAGCTGGTGTATAGGTTGTAGCAAGGAAGACTCTGGAGAGGTAGCAAGGAAGAGTAGGTAGGCAGCAAGTGAGAGAAATGTTGTTTAGCCAACATGGATTTGCAGCATCATGGTGCTGTTAGCAGCATCTCTCAGAAGGGAGATGGTACATTGTGATATACAGTAGTTTACATTGATTTGCTGGCACGCTCCAAGAAACACAGTTTATTATGAGGTGTGGTGTAATAACTTGCTCCCTGAACAAGCTCCTTTGCTGAACTGTGATACAAAAAAATAACATGGTCAGTGACTTCCAGAAATTAGAGCTCCTGCTGCTTCATGATTTGGATGCCAGGAGAATCAATTAATTTTCTTTGCTTAACTGAGAAAATCTCTTTGCCATGCAAGGTTACTCCGTCAAAGAGGCATTTCTGCAATGGTAGTAAATGAGATTCAGAGCTTCAGATGCCACCATCAGTATTACGAAAGCTGGCAGATTGCTGACAGGATCCATCCATTAGGTAGCACGTATCTGCTAAGCTACCTGTACCGGTGCCCTTACTGATCCCAGAGAGCTCCTCTGGAAGCAGTTGGCAATGCGGGTTCAGGGAGTTGGATGCCACGTTCTGAGTCACTGCGTGTTACTGGCTGAGTGGTGTCAGGGGCTGGTAGCTGATACAGCTGTGGTCTTCACACAGAAGGTTTGTTGAGCTGTTGCAAATGCTAATTTGCTTTCCTCCTGCGTGCAGGCTACCTTCAGTAAGATTCCTATAGGATTCATACCTCTTGGAAAGACCAGCACTCTCAGCCACACACTCTACCCTGAGAGCATGAACCAAGTTCAGTAAGTACTATGTGTTTCTGAAAGGGTTTTTTTGTTTGTTTGTTTGATTGATTGATTTCAAGGAGCAGCGCTTCTTGGTAATCTGATACTTCCTTTTTCTTCTATATTGCATTGGGCTTGGCAGTATCTGATGGGGCCTGATGGTTCTCTGGACTTGCATGAATTACTGACTTCCAAATTACATAAAAATTAAAAGAAGTAACTATGTTTATTATTAGAACACAATCATTTGCTGTAGCTAATGTCTCTGTGATCATGTCAAGAGTTTGGCACGATTCAAAAAATAATAAATAAAAAGGAGGATCAAGCCTCTTATAAATAGTCTGAGATACAATGTCAGGAATGTGATGAAACATAAACCCTACTCCTCTTTCCAACCCTTTTCCAGTTTAAGAATTTTAGAAACTAATCTGCCTATAACCTTGCACGCACTTGCATTATAAGGAATACAAGAATCTCTTTAGGAGTTTGGATACCCTTAGTGACTTCTGCAGGGTTTCTTGCTGCATTCTGCAAAGAGACTCAGGCTGGCAGCTGTTCACCATTCTGAATCTTATCTGTCATCATTCTGGATCTGATCCAGACTGGCAGTATCTGTTGCCTGCATCTTAGTTTGTTGTAAGATTGTTTTGTGCACTCCTAAATTAAAAAGAGCAGTCAACTAATCTTTTCTTCTCCCCACATTTTGTTCCTTTTAAATGTTTTCCTTCCCTCTTCCCATGATGAATATATTTCCTGGCTCCTGAAGTCCCTTCACCCTGGTGCTCCCAGTATCTCATTAGCATTCTCCTTTAGAGAACCCTTCCTGGTTCCATCATATATAAAACCCACAAGCCAACTTGCGTAACATCCTCATTAAAACAAGCAGAGTGCTTTGAAACTCAGCAAGATGGCCAAGACTGTGATCCACAGCTCAGATTAAATAATAATGCACATTTGGGTTCTAAAGAAGCTGTTTGAAACGAACGATCTTGTCCACGGGTAATGAACCCTGCAGGTGAGGGCTGCAGCGTTTCGGTGAAGTTGAAAGGAATTTGGTCAATAGGCTGCTTAAGAACCCCCACCAGTAACAGAACTTGAATTAAGAAGTGCAATAGTGATATTTGAAGTATGTATGTATAATATATATAATTGGGCTTTGGTTTTCTGCACTGTTGGATCTCACTTTGGAGTTAGGAATTGCTGAAATCTTAGAGAAAGTAGTTCCTCCCTCAGTACTTCATTTCTCCTAAGTCTGTTCTTTCTCTATCTCATTATTGTAAGCCCAATGAAATCAAGGTCAGTTTCTCCTCCTGATACAACTGGTATTGGATCGGATCTGAAAGTTGCATTTGTTTGTTTGTTTTGTTTTGCTTTTCCTATCCAGCTATGACACTTGGAAAGTGCACAATGTAGAATTTAGATTTTACCCAACTTATAAATATGGAAGTGATATTAATAAGACTGCAAGGCCAGAACATCAAGACCTGTTTCGGAACTTGAACACTTTCATTATAGAATCCGCAGTGCTGCATTCAGTGGCCTGAAATGAGGAGGAACTGTAGCTACTGTCAGCAACTTTGTTGAGGCTAAAACAAGATGGGCAATGATAATTGGTTGATCTGTATCAGTAAAAAAAACTTAAAACCAAATTGACATATTGGGGTGATTTGTGTTCTGCACATATGAATTGAGACCAGTCTCATATCTCTCTTTCTCCCTCCCAAGTTGTTAAATTTGCCACCAATAAAATAAATCCATAGTATAGATCTTTAATTCTTAAGCATCAAAATCAGCTAGCAACCTGATCTGCCACATCAGTTGAAGGAGAAATATTTGGGAAAAGAAACATCCACATCTGGTTGCAAACATTCTTTGGTTCTTCAGATGTTTTGCTGCTTGGTAGGACACAGGCTTTGTCATGCATCACAGCCACCCCATTTGCTTTTCGCTTGTAAAGAAATGCAGCACTTCAGCGGAGTTCTTTCTGGCACAATGTTTATTTACAGAAAAAAAAATCCAGAATGATAGTGGGGGATGCAGAAAAATAATGTTCAAATTTAAAGCTCATTCTTTTTACTGTTTGTGTTTCAGACATATTATTAATGCTACATTGGCCATTTTGAAGGGAGAGACAGTTCCACTTGATGTCTTGCAAATCAAGGTAAAAACATCTGCTTATTTAACACCCAGCATTGAAACTAAACCTGTCATTCCTAAAACAGTGATTTTCTCACCTTTTTCTGATTTCTCCATTCTCAGTAGTTTTGAGGGATCCAGGAATGCAAGGGTTATATAGCACGTCTTTGTTCTGTGTAATGGTGCCATGCATTTTGGCTGATGACATCATCAGTTCTTGTGGCAGTCATTTTCTTAGCTGAACAGTGTGACATCAGAAGGTCTGAACTGGAGAAAATACTTGAATGCCCGAAGACTTTGTTGTGAATCTGAAAAGAGTGTTTCAATGAATGCAAAACTTATTAACACAGATATTTTTGTGGAAATGGTGAGAGATAACAATAGCTACCTGAGCTGTCTTAATACATCTCATATATTGTGGAAGTAATAGCTTTCTTCTTCAAATAGAAAAGTATAAGATGACAGAACCTTTGACTATGCCCAATGTGCTTTTCGAATATATATTTTTTCCTGTTATGTTGCACAACATACATTTCTACAGGAAGGACCTAATGTTGTGGTGCAGAGCCCCTTGCTTTGGGTTCACAGTATTCAGAAAATGAAATATCTCTTGCTGGGTGTAAACTCAATCAACCTCTAAAAACTTCACCTGTTATATTCCTGTCTTGGGGTAGATAGAATATATACAACTTAAATTCTGTTTAACCTTTTTTGCTCTTACCATTTATCTTACCGTTACTGTGAAATTTTACTCTTGGCATTAATCAGAGATCAATTTTCATACATAAATTATTTTTTATTTTTTTTAAAAAAAGATGAGAACCTGAATTTTGTACTGTTTATTTTTCTTTACAGGGAGAAAAGGAACAGCCTGTGTTTGCAATGACTGGATTAAGATGGGGATCTTACAGAGATGCAGCAGTTAAAGTTAGCAAGTATGGAAATACTGGGATTTTTGTTGTTGGTTTTTTATGTTTTTTGTGGGTTTTTTTGTTTGTTTTGAAATGATACCTTTTATTTAGCATCTGTTGTTGAGAAACAAATGCTTCCTTTTTCTTTTTTTAGTGTTAGCGTGTGAAAGGCAGAAGTACTTAGTTACACATGTGGGACTGTAAGACATGTCAGCGCTTTTGTCATTCAAAATTAACACTTACTTGGTACTTAAACCGCTACCAGGAAATAAGGTGTGTTTCCTTTGTGAATGAGCTCTCTCTGTCCAGAAGCAAGAGATAACTGGTCTGACTGGCAGACATGTGAAAGGGTTTGATAAGAGGTGATGTGGAGTGGGGGAGACAGAGCAAATGGTCAGGTTTAGTTGTCCCTGGGAAACAGGGGGCATGTTCAGTAGCTGGTGTGGATGTGTGTCCTCCAGCTTCCCTGTGCTCTCAGTAGGCTTCCTTCCCATGCCTTGTTTTTGCTACATATCAGCCTTCCCTTCCAGCAGCAGTTCCCCTTGCTAGGAATTGTTTGGACTCGGTGTTAGGCATGACAGCATTTTGTTGACTTGGAGTGGTGTGGACATGTTCAAACCTTCCTCTGTTCTTTCAGTGTTATCAAACACACAGCAAATGCAACCAGCTTGGGAAGCACTTCAGCCACAGATAGATGGAGGCTGAGAGTGCACTTGGAGGGGAGAATTGCCTGTGCTTGCCCTGTTCTTGTGCTTTTCCCAAAACATCCACTTTTGACCTTACCAGGAACTGGATATTGGGCTAAAGAGATGCTTGGTGTAGTCCAGTACAGCTGATCTTTTACTAAGAAGAAAGTGCCAAAGCAGTGGAAACTGAGCTGCAAGTCAGAGTTCTAGAAATTTATCCAGGTTTCCTGGCATTAAAAACCATCCCGGTGGAGGCAAGGTGCTGAGTTTCATGAGTTTGAGGGTTTTTGGTTTCACAGCCGCTGGCTCTTCCATGGCTCTGTGGGAGCAGTGTGACAATTGCCTGCCTTTGTTGGCAAGATCTAATATGCTTGCATCTCTGACACGCTTGAACTGAGGACACTTCATGTGCTGTGTTGACCTTCTTTGGTGGAGGAGTGAACCAAAATGAATGCAAGATCACCTAAAATATTGTCACATGCTTAAATTCTGTGCAGCGCTTTATGCTGAGGAAGTTTAAAAAAAAAAAAGTAGTGTATTTTTTTTTTTGGTCTGAGAATCCTTTGGGGCATATAAGTGTTTGCTGTTTCTGTTTGCCCTTCTCTGATGCTGTTGACTTTTGTTCATTTGTTTCATCCAAATTCATTCTTCAGCGCATACTGCAGAGTTGTGTCTTGCCAGCTGTTCCACCACAGATCCTTAAATCATTCCTAGCTATGTCACATAACTAGGTAAAATTCTGCTCTGGAGTTGTCAGGCTGCCTTTAGTGAACATTGTAGCCTGCATTTTTCCAAACCCCATAACTGCTAAGCTTCTGGTGATGAGTAGAAACTTACTGGTTATAACACAAAGTAAAACATTGCAGGAAGCACAAACTTCAGTAGCAAGCAAATCTGTGCACTGTCAGTTCATGTATGATTTTTTCCTATCCCAGTGCGGACCCCCAGATATCTAAGAAATTCTGTTTGTGTTCTTTTTTTTCAGGTATTGGTACCTTGGGCCTCTGAAAACCAAAGCAGCTCACTTTTTCACTACATTTAAGGTAAAGAATAATTGAAAAAAGTAACACAGAGTTTTTTGTGACTAGTTCTGGTAATAATGTAAAATAGGAGGAAAACTTGACTTGATAGATGAGGATATAACTTTGAGAGATGAAGAGGAGGAAGAGTGTTTTAAAAACATCCTTTTTTTTCTTCTCTAAGGATGTGTTGCAACAAGGTCACCAGGGGGAGCCAGTAGCCGTCTTTGAAACTAGGGAGCAGTGGTGGTGCTGCTCTGTCACCTTTCCCAACCATCTTTCTTATGCTGACCTTTCATTCTGATTTATTCATCTGGCAGAAGTGCCAGTAATTAGACTGCTCATGAATGTTGATAATCATGCCTTCGTGTGGGGTAAAGTGAACTTTCACATTAATAGCTTACATATCACTTTAAAGTTTTCCCATGCTTAAGATTGTAAAAAGTTTAAAATCTGACCTTAAAGGTGACGCATCTTCATTCATGCACTTTTCCTGATTTTCCATGGAAAAATCTCATGAAAAAAAAATGTAGAAATACTCAAGAGCTGCAAGAGCAGATGAGACTGGGCATTCCAGCCATACTGCCAGTGTTTTGTAGGAAGCTCCTGTAAGGGCAAGTTAAATGATAATGTGTCTGTGAAATATGTATTTTTTTCTATGCCCCCCAAATTAGACATGATAATTCTGTGCTAGTGTTCTAGGTATAAACCTGTTCTTTGCCCTTTTCCAGCTCCTTTCTCACTTTTCTTTTATTGAGTCCTTAGTCTCAGGAAGTGCCAGGGCCAGTGGGTATATGGGCTCCTAGCTGGATTGTTTTAGTTTACAAATTTTAAAAATACTCATTTTATTTCTTCCATAAGTGTTGTATTTTAAACGTTTCAGAAATTAGTTTAAGAACAAACTGAGAGGAAGTAAATTTTGTCCACACTGTCATCATCTGGCAGTATTTGAGGAGTTAAGGTTTTGCTGCAGTCCGTCAGTTTCTGGCACTGGAATCTGAAACATGCCTGCGAAAAACATGTCACTCTTTTTTGTTTGTTTCTCAGGTGCCTTATAAAACTCACTGACTTGCCATAAGAGCCTTGGGGTGGTTCTTTATATTGCTGTGTATAAGCACCTGACTATAGGGTCAGGTCTTGATTGTTTGAGTGGTTGAAGTACAGACGTCTGCCTTGGCTTCGGTGCCGCGCTGTGTTTTTCCCTGTTTGCATTAGACCCTGCTGTGCTGTTGCACTTTAAGTTTGCCTTTGTGCCATGCAGGAACCAATTGTGCTTTCAGGGTTAGTGTTGCCCTTGCCAGTTTTGGTCCTTCCCTCGAGCCAAAAGCAGATGTGCACCCTCCCACACATCAACAGCAAAACAAGGACCCTCTCTCCTCTGCTTGGAGAGGGGAAAGGACCTCATTTCTGTGTGGGGAGGGAGGAGATTGCAGACTTAGGAACTGTGGATCTTTTCCCATCTGCAAAAATGTCATTTCACCCTTGTGAATCTGGAGACCTGTGTGCTGTAAAGCAGGCTGAGGCAGTGGTGATATCTGAGTAGTAATATCAAGCACTCGGGGGGAGTGCATGAGTGCACTGAGTTTTAGTCCCTCAGCCTGAAAACTAGGCTCAAGTACTAAACAGAATGAAGCAGTAAGTGCTCAACAAAAGACCTTCTATTCTCTGCCTTTCTTTTTGTGTGTGTGTGTGTGTGTGTAAATTCAAGGAATGGCCTCAGAAACATCAAGCTGCTCTCATGTATCTGGGTCCAACTGAGAGACCTCCAGAAGAGGCAGAGGAGCAGCGATCCAGACCACCTTTTCATGTGAGGCTCTACAGAAGACTTGCGTTGTACTGGTCATCTCCCCCGAAAGGTAGGGAATGTTTATTCTGGCATAAGCTCAGAGATCGGCTTTACTCCTCTAACAGACCAGAAGGATTTCTTTTTCTACTCTTCTGATTTTTTTATTCCTTTTTTTTAACTATGACTTTGTCAAGATGATTAAGGTGACATCTGCCAGATCTACAGTCCTATCAGTGCTTGTTTTCTCATAAACAAAAGTGAATTTGCAAAGAATCCTCCATGTTTGTTGGGATTGCAATTGCTTGACATTGGTATATAAGTCTCCATAGGTGACAGGGCACTTATGGGCCTTTAAATCCTTTAAATCTTCTTCCTACAGAATCTGGTCTTAGTGTGCTAGAGAGAGGAGCATTCCTTGGTTTCCAGTATGAGGGATTTGCTGAAACCAGGAAATGAATGTTACTTAAAATAGAGTCTGGTAGAACTTGAACCATGCAGAAGTCTTGAATTCTTTTTAGTGCCTTACAGGGAAACCCTAGGACTAAATTTCCTTCTGCATGTGCTATGAGCCATTCCTGGGTTGTTTTTTTAGCAAGGCAGTGTGTGCAGCATAGTGGGAAAGGAGGAGGAATATGTATTTTCTGTGATCTGGTGTGATACCAACAAAACTAGTCCTTCTCATTCCTTCTTAGTGAGCCAGGGTCAATTAGATAGGAGCATGGACTAAGTGACCTGCGTATAAGAATGGTGCTCTGGGGCTTTTTCCTATAGAAAATACATTTTTTTCTGCAGCACCCTAAACATCAGCTCTCCTATTTTCTTTTCCCCCTATAGCAGCTCTTCTTTTGTTTCTCAAACTTTTCTGTGGTACTATCTCAGGAGGCTTATTAATAGACAGGCACAAGGAGTCAGAGGGCTGCCATGTAATATGCTTGATCGTCTTTTCTGTCACTGTATGAATGCTGAGGGTTTTTTTTCCCTCAGTGCTTTCAATCTCACTTTCCCTTTAGTTCCTTTTTTTCTTTCAGTTTGAAAGAAATTAAGCTAGTGGTAGCAATGGGTTAAAGTGATTTTGGTGGCAGTTATTGATGTTCATGCTTCACAACAGTGAAATGTTGGTCTGTGTAATTAAATTCTACTTAGTGGTATCATCTCTTCCGAATTCACAGAAATCCCCCGGGAGGAAACCCAGGACAACTGGGAAGAACTGAAGATATCCACCATTGAGCTTTCCATTGCAACTCAGAACAGACAGCCTGATTTGACAGTAAGAGCATAGTACAAATGTTCCCAGGGCGCACAATTTTTCTTTCTTACTAAATTCTTGTTCTTGTGTCTATGCAGAAAAAAACTTATTACCCAGTACATGTCAGGGCCCATGATTGAATCCAGCAATGGGCAAATTTCAGAGACAGTGTGAAAGCCCTGGAGATCCATGTGAAACTGGATTGCAGTGACAACAGGAAGAAATGTATAACAAGAAGGTTTCACTAATCAAACAGAAACTTTAGGATTGCCCAGGAGGAAAAAGCAGCATCAAAATAGGCACTTGTTCCCTTTCTGACCCATGGGAGTTTGGAAATCAGATACATTTCTAATTCTGTTTTATCAGCTGGTGCTGAATTGAAACTGTGAGCCTGAATGTCTGCCTGGCATCATGGCTTTTTTTTCTCTCTTTCCTGACCTGCAGAGCAAATAGTTAAAAAGTAGTCATGCTGGAGAAAGGACAGCAGCTACCCTGAGGTTGGGGATAGGAAATGGGAACCTTCTTGACATGATCGTGCTTCACATTCAGTGTTTCACATTCAGTGCTCTAGTTTTTATCTGCATTTTGGTGCAGATTCCTTGCTGTGAAAGCTTTTGGGATGGATCTTCATCCTTAGTTCTAGTGGAAAATGCTAACGCAGTGGTACCTGAGCAGCTCTACGGGTCTTTTACATGGCTGCAGGAAGCGGCTGCCACTGCAGCCAGATTGATTTACTGAATAAATAAAATAAATGATACTGATAGGTGGGAGTTTTATTGTTTGTTTTTGTTTTACTTTTGTTATTTTGACTGCATCTGTACTAGGACTTCTGCCAGGGCAGAAATATAAAAAAAAGGAATTAATAAATATATAGTGCTTTCCTGACAAAAGTTTTACAGATGGTTTAGTTTTATAGGTGGTTTAAGGGCATGTTACAAATAGAAACCTATCTAAATAACTTATTTAAAAGGCTATTACTGAGAACAATTTGACTTCCAATTTGTATTATATAAAATTCTTACATTAGTGTTTAATTGCCAAAAGTAGCATCACTGTACTGTTGCTTGGGATCATGGAAGACCCGTTGATCTTTGTGAACGGATAAACCCAAGTGATCTGCTTTTGTTGTGTTTAATAATTGTGTAAAATGTAACAAGAAGCCAGCTGTGTGAATCATTATTTTGGGAGTGAATAGTCTTCAGTAAAACATTAGTAGCTATAATTTGTAACCTGAATCTCTCAAGTCAAGGGAAAAAGAGAAGCTCACTAGAAATACATCATCTTTCTCCTTTGTGGGACAAAGAACTGAGCATTTTGTGAACATATTGCAGTATTAAGGGTGTGGTATTTTGAAATGTTAACTGTTTAATTTCCATATCTTTTTCCATAGCGTACTGAAGACTTCATGAATATTTGCATCGAAGCAGATACCGTTGGCAAAGGACAGTTTGTAAGCAGAGGGTGAGTATGAGAAGACTGCCAAAAGACGTCAGATTCTCTGGACAAGTCAGAAAACTGTTTCTGGGGTTTTTGTTACCCTATTCTCTGATTCTGTGCTGCACAAGCTAAAAACAGAGGGATACAAAGGATATAAACAAGTAATGAGGGTTACAAACTCTGTACTTTAAAATTCTCATTAACTTTCTCTTTCTTGAAGCAAGGCAGAGCAATCTACCTGGACTTCTAAATTTCTGAATTTCCTGAACCTTTCATCTTTTCTCGTACTACTGTTGATGAGGCTGTTTGGATGACAGTATTGTAACCCAGGGTTTTCAAGGCAGTAGCCATACGCCAGGCACGTTTAGCTGCCTGGTGCACTGAGAGAAGAGTTGCTGAGCTGAGAGGTTTGCACTAGTGGTACTTAGAATTTTAGAGCTCTCTATAAGGTAGATTCTGTTTTTAAGTGAAGATCTCCCTTAGTTCAGTGGCTTTTCTCAGAAATGGGATCTGAGCTCGAAGGACTTCTTTGAAGATGCATGTTTAAAGAGGGGTTTTTAGCAAATACGTTAATGCTGCCTGTACATGAAGCAAGGTGGTTACAGGTATGAATAAGCAGCACATAGAGTAAAAACGTGTTGCCTTCCTTGTGCTTGGAGAGTTGTCTTGTTGTTTCTCCTGCCCTTGAAGTAAGTCACTAGACACAAATCGAAATCGCTTTTTCCATCTCCTCCTTACAATCCTAGCAAATATGTCACATCTTCAGTACTTTTTCCATCTCCTCCTTACAATCCTCCTAGCAAATATGTCACATCTTCAGCGCAGTTCTTATTGTCAACAGGATTTCCTGTGAAGTCCAAGTGTGCTCTTCTGTCATTTTAGCTTTGTAGTTTCTGACTTTGTTTTCTAGTCTTGGGGCTCCCTCTTGTGAAAGCAGGTGGAAGGATTTGAACGCTTTTTCTACTGCTTGTAGCTGCCCTAGTAATCCCTGCAGCAGCAGGCTCCTTATAGCCCACAAGCCTTAATGGGGTCTTCTGACATAGGCACACAAGGTGGGTCTGGTGTTACTCCATTTAGTCGCACCAGCCATTTAGACTGTCAGCTGCTTTGGAACTCAAATTTTTGCTTTAAAGACTATAGAAGGAAAGAAGGAGGTCTGATGTAACCTAAGGGAGATGCATTTTGAGTATGCCCCTGCTTCCATGTGGAGTGGACATGTTTCACCCAGTAGTAGGTCACAGTTTTTGACTGCAAGAACAGTGTAATGCAGGAAAAGCCCCTGATTGGTGTTAATGTGCCCTGTTGGCTAGAACTAATTAGAGGCACCACCAAAAGCTTTGAGCTGCTGTTCAAGCACTGTTCAAAGAAATGAGCTCTTTTGATTAAACGCCGCCCAAAAGTCTGTGGCTAATGACAAAAGAGAATGAGAGAGGTGTGAGAGTGGGGGTGACTGATTAGTTTTATAGAAAGAAGTCAAAATAATTTAAAAAAACGCAGCCTGTTTTGCAAGGCAGAGTCAGGGTATTCAGAGGGCCCTTCACCACACAGAACCGTTTGGCAGTTAGGCTGGAATCAAGCCTGTTATTAGAGGGTCCACGCTGGCCAGCATCAGTAGTGTTTGTCAGTAGGAAAAGTATATAAAGAAGGTTTTGTGGTGTTAAATGCATGGTTTTAAACTGCACCAGAATTCAATGGGTTACCAAGGTTTCTGGGGAAAGTAGCCTGTGGATGCAGGTATTAAGGATTTTCCTACTGAGGAGGGCACTTACAAGAGCTGATCAGAACTGATAGCTCACACCAAGGAACCACACATCCCGTGGGAAGCCATCACGCAGGTTCACACAGCGCTGAGGGGGAAACGCATCAGTGCTGGAGGGCAAATGCTGCTGAGTTTCAAAGAAAGGAGGAGGTCGCCCCAGTTTGATAACAGTGCCCCTTGCCTGTGGATCAGACTGTGGGAACAAGAGCAGCCGCAGCTGATGTTCAAGAGGAGGGGTGGAAGAACAGATGGTTTTGCTGTAGCGCCTGTTACAAAGTGCTGGAGGGAAGGAAAGGGAGAGATGTGCAGCCTCGGTAATCCCCGCCCTGCTAGTTAGTTCTGACTGTGACAGTGGAGAGCTGACTCTCCAGGGCATGAACGTGGCTATCAGCTGAAGCGTAGGAGAATGTTTCATTTGGTTACGGTTTTCCTCTTCGTCCTTTCACACTTGCCACTCCTGGCAATGAGAAGTAGGTGAAAACTGTGCGTGCAGCGGGTGCACTGGTGTTGAGGTTCCTTTGCAGTTTGGCATGTGGGACAGGATCAAGTGATCTTTTGAAACTGTTGCTTCTGTTCTCTCTTCTGTTTCACTTTGTGTCATGTTTTGAGCCAAGAGCTTAATCAAATACAACTGATTTCTGATCCTTCTTATCTTCTGTATAAAAATACAGAGTCACTAGCGAGGCAATAGCTTTAAGGGAATTGTATCTGTTTGGGTTTCCAGTGTTCTCCTATGACAGATCTTTAGTTTTATGTCTTGTCACTGAGCTCACCTTGATCCCATAATTACATCTTTGTGGAAGCTCTTTTATCTTCATGGACTAAAAAACCAACTTGCTCATCAGTAGGACCTTGTATGTTAAGTCTGAAAGGGGTTAACCTTAAGCAGGGTATCTCATTGCTTGTTTGTACATCACTGTATAAACTGGCAGCATCCCATGCCATCAGCAATTTATCATTCATACAGCTGGAAGGATGTTTAACTCCCTCACATTCACGTGTCAATCTTTTAGTATATACATGTTTGATTAAAAATAAACTTTCTACAGTTAATATTGCTTCCATTCTCCCAAGCCCTTTGGCCATCAAGCTTTTCTTTCTTTGTCTTTGGTTATCCTCTCGTGTTTCAACCTTCTCTTCTTCTTTCTCTGGGATGTCCTGAGATCTGAAGAGGAGCTTGCATTCCTGAGGGCATGATCTGCAGTATATGGGGCTCTTCCAACCTGTGCTTATGACTTCTTTCCCTGAGCAATGCAGGACTATTTAATTTCACTGTCCTTTCCCATCGGTCTGCTGGAGATCCCTGTCTGTGGGCTATTTTGATTATTCTGCCATGCTTGAGAGGCTGTGATATATTGACATTGTGTCTCTCTCCTGTCCCGGGGGCTCATGGAGTACATATGGAAAAGGGAGCACATAGAAGGGTTCCCACCTGGAGCACGGGGCACCCTGTGTGGGAGGTCAGCCCAAAGGCTACATGTGTTTTCCCTTGGGAGGAAGGCAGAACTAGGTCGCTGTGTGCAGGAGAGCTTGTGCTGACCCCGAGGATGAAGGGAATCACAACCTACTGTTGAGCCAGTGACCAAACAGCAGCCAAAGACTTGAAAAAGACCGAAGACCAAATTGCACTTGCACCCCCCCGTGCAATTTTAAAATAAGAAACTTTATGCTGACTGGCATTGATGTAAGAAGATTTTTTTTTCTTTTTTTCTTTTTTTTAAGATGCTTGTTCCTGTTGGGTGTTTTTAGGTTGCTGGTAAATCATGTTTGTGGGATACAGAGGAGATGGTAGCAATTCACTGCAGGAATTGTACAGCTCAGCATGCAAGTGAGGAGCACAAAACTGTGCTATAGAAACATATTCAAACATGCTCAGGAAGACATGGAGTAGAAGTTGGCTGGAGGCTCTCTATGAATGCCAATGTGTACCAACTGCTGCATAGAAAAGAATGTCTATTAAAATGGCAAATATTTTCATATATACATAACTTCTAAATTTTCCAAACCCCTGATGATTTATCAAACTGTAATGGTACATCAATGCTAAAGATGGCTGTTTCTGATAGAGTCTGGTTCTTACCTTTGCTTCTCTTTTGGTTTGAACAGAAGTCAAAAGATGAGTGATCCACAGACGTGCCCTGAAGGGAGTCAGTGCATCCAAGCCAGCAAGTGCATCTTGCAGCTTCCAGAGGTGAGAAATGGAGAAAGTTGGAAATATGTCCTTTTACTTCCTGATAGCAGCTGATACTGCACATTAAGAAATCCCTGCTCCAGGTTTGGTAGGTGATTACACTGTTGGTGAGACACACAGTTTCTAAGCATAGCAAGACAGTCCCAGGCCAGGAGACCCTGTGCCACATATTCTAGGTGTCCCTGCTTGAGCGGGGTGCTTGGGCTAGATAATCTCCAGAGGTCCCTTCCAACCTCAACCATTCTGTGATTCTATGAGACATGTGCTGGAATTTGCAAAGTGGCCTAAAAACAACAGGGGGACCTTCATTCTGCCAGTGAGCTGTGACAGTCCTTTTATAGCAGTGATAGTTGTTGCAAGTCTGTTGCTCAGCTGCATCACATATACACAACATCTTCTTACATTTTGAAGACTGAATTCTTCCTTTAAACTGTTACCCTAGAAGGAATTAAGCTGTGGAAAAGAAGTTATCAAATATGAGAAGCTTTTTGGAGGGGAGGGAGAGAGACACAAAGCATTGGGACTCCAGCCACTGTAGGGAAGTGTCTCAAGAATTTGAGTAGGAGGGACTGAGGAAAAAGCCAAAGCTGTGACCTGCCTGTGTAGGTTAATTAGTCTTTTGTTGCCTCTTAGGAAATAGAGGTTGTTACTGGAGCATTGGGGGAAGACCTGCTTCTGCAAGGAGATTCAGTCAATCTCATATATTATCTCTATCTTCAAATGATGTATGATTCTCACATCACTTGATGAAAAAAATCTGTTTTGTGCGGGAGTAGAATATGCCAGGAGGTGAAAAAGTCTGTGACTACAAATGAAAAATCACAAACTTATCATGAGTAGCCAGGATCCTAATACTTGCATCAAGTCAGCATCACAGCAGTTTTGTGATTATGAAAAAACAAGTGAATTCTGGAGTGCTGGGCTAAATGCAGCTAGGTAAGGGCTGTAGGTATAAAACGAAGCACCAAGCTGTAGCTAAGACCTACAAGGTACCCGTGCATGGCACAATCTTGACCTGGCTCTGATAACAGAACTGGAGGGAGCGCAGGTGAGTCTTGTTAGTTTTGCAAAGAAGCAGGATATGTTGGTATGCATGGACTGCCACAGCTCTGTGGCATCAGGGACATATGCTGCTTTTTCCAGTTTCTGCTTTTCTGACGTTCCTGCTCATTTGGAGCTGGTTTGAATACCACGTGACACAATCCTGCCTTGAGGCAAGTGTGTGCCAAGCGGGCACTAGGATTGTTTGGGTAAAGTCAACCTGCCATTTTGATGAATGGTTTTAATTATTAGTGACTTCATCAGCATAAAGAAAAGCCCAAGAAAATTCTACTCCTGAATAATACGTGACCTGTGAATTACTTTGCATCCCACGTTTCAGGTCAATGTAGTAAAACAATAGCAAAGGTATTGGTGGCATGGATTTAATCAGAGTTATTTAACAGGCACGTCAGCAGATTAGCTGGTGTCACCGCTGGCAGACCAAGATCTAAGTGGATATAATTATAGTTCCAATAGCAAAGAATCTTTCAGGATGAACAATGTGGGTCATTAAAACTCTCGAGCATTTAATTATCACCAATTAGCAACTAAGTGAGGTAGCATTTTATGCGGCAGACTATTAATATATTCTGTGTGGTGAAGGATAGCGTTCTCCGCGTTGTTGAGACCAAAGGGGCTTGAAGGCACAGAGAAGGGGTCATTTTGGTCAACACTCAGCAAAATATCCAACTGCAGTCTGTTAGTAAACTCTATCATCAGTATTGTAACATCGTTGTAATACTCTGATGCTGTTTAACCCTGATCAGCAGTGTTGTTTGTACACAGGGCACTGGAGGATCCTTTGGCATTGACAATGAGGAATATGAAGCTATGCCTGTAGAGGTGAAGCTATTACCCCGGAAACTCCATTTCTTCTGTGATCCCAGAAGGAGAGAACAGATGCTCCATGTGGCAGCTCAATGAGAATTCAAGTCAAACTGGATCACTGCTCACCAGCCTTATCAGGTTCTCTTCAAGGCACACGAAACCTCGCTAATTTGATTAACTCCATTGGATTAATGAATCATTGGGCCATTTTATGCACAAAGTACTTCTGTTGGAAATGGCTGGTTTGGCAAGTCTCAAAGGGGCTAAAAGTGCAAATTAGACTCTTAAGAGGTTAACGTTAACTCGATGGCATCTTTTCCTTCCTCCTAAAGAAGAAGTCTGTTCCATTTACAGCGCTGCAGGCTGAGTGCTGTGTGCCAGATGCTACTACTTTATTACAATTGTATATTAAAGTAAAATGTAACCACACTTGTCCTTGTGTTTGGAGAGTTAAGGTCTACCTTGCCTGTGTATAAATCACAGGAAATCTGGGATCATGAAAAAAGTGCTTCAGCAGAGTCATGCTAAGGATATTATGAAATGCTGAAATTGCCACATTAAAACAGGTGATTGGTTATAACTTAAACTTAAGTCCCCAACTTAAAACAAGTTGGAGATGGGTGATATAAAGCTTCAGAGGATATTTTAAAACTTCCAGTCTGTATCTGTTTCCTGTGGACTACAATTTGTATATTTCCAAGCTGCAAAATGAATTTTTACTGTTTTGGGTTTTTTTTCCTAATACATGTAGCTTGAACTCATAGTTGTCCTCACACAGCAAAACTAGCACAAGAAACCTGTATCAGATGAGATCTTCAAACTTCTGTAAGGTTCTGTTCTTCTGAAAACACTTACAGGTTCCTTGAGTGGCTCATTATGATAGACTTGTTATAGATACATTATTTTTTTCATCTTGTCAGATTCAACAGCGCAGAGTTCCAGTTAACAATACTGTGGAAATATAATCCTTTGATCAAGTTTAGGTATGTTACACTGAAGCAAATTGGAAAATGTCATCTTTGACTTGAAGCCATATAAAGTAGCATGTGGAAACATTCTTTAACAAGCCAAAAGAACCCTTTTTGTAAGTATTTCTTTTATACCCGTGGTAATCCAGCAAAGGGCATCCAAATGACTTATTTGTGTGTGATTGCTCTTCTCCTTTGCTGTAAACAGCCCTCATAGTTCCTTCTGCAATCTACAGCATCCCCTTGAGCTCCACTTCTGTAATTAGCTTTGTTGCTTTTCTAAGCTTTTGCTTAGAGCTTCCCTTTAATAGCTGTAAGGAAATATCTTTAACTTTTTCAAGGTTATGTGTTGGTCGTAATATAATCTACAGGTTTGCTTGATTTTTCCCTTTCTTACTGGAGAACAAAATCCTTGTTTTCTTCCTAATGTGGTCACAGTTTGTATACAGCTCTCCTATTATGTTCTTATCTAGCCTAAGCTGATCTGTTGATCCTTTGCTGTAGTCAAAGTGTAGAACATGAGTGAATCCAGCAGCAGCGTAAGAGCTATATGCTGCTGCAGCAGCATCCTCTGCTGGAGAGCTGCTAGAGGAAAAAATGTTTGGAAAGGGAAGAAATGATGGCTTTTTTTGAGTAATGCTCTAATTGAGCGGAATGGTGCCTTCCCTGGGCAACAGAAGGATGAAATTAATTAGCTAAGGCATGTGAAATATAAGCCATCAGGACAGACCCTTGTCTCTTTCCTGGCTAAGGTAGTGGGGAGCAGAAACCTGCTTGTCCTTTTAATAGTTACGCTGGTGACAGAGCCTGTCTTGTGCTGTCTTTGATTTGCTCTGCAGCAATTAAGAGTGGTCCGTGGGCCCGGGGCTCCCTCCGAGGAAGGTGCTGGCTGCGCTCGGGCTAGCGAGGTGGGCAGAGACACGTGGAGCGCTGCTGTGCGGCCCCTGGCTCCTTCCGAGGCACTGACACTTCTCACCGACTGAATTGTCCTCCAGCTGATGCTTCTGTAATAAAAGTAGCACTGTTTTGCACAAGTGGCAGGAAAGAAAAAGCAGCAACCATTTCAGAAAGGTAAGCTTTAATTGTATTTAAAAAATAGCTGTGTTTCCATAAGCAGTTCCACTGCACAGGCCCATGCCTGTGGGAACAACCCCATACCTGCAAGATGCAAATACCCTGAGAGCTGTCTGAACTTCAGCCAGGCTGCTCCAAGGGAGGGATGGTAGGAACCTACTTCTGTTTCAGCTGCAGCTTTATTAGAGGAAAATGAGTAACTCCATCCTACAGACTCAGGACTTCTACAGACTCAAGCTCATGCTGCAGTGTGATTCCTTTCTCGAAAGTAACCCAGGGCTCCTCCCAGAAAGGGTATTACTGCTCTCTTCCTGTTAAAGTACTAATGATAGTCTTTTAAACAGACATAGCCCCAGAAGGTAGTTAGCTGGTGTAAGTACTGTTAAAGAGACTTTCCCCTCCCTCTTTTTTTTAATCCCTGTATTGAGTATTTCTAGTCATCAGAATTACAGTTGTAAGGAATACAACTTGTTGTTACAGAAAATAAGTAGAGGTTGAACACAATTTATGGGGCTGATGGAAAGACTCAATTCCTGTTTCCCTCTGACATCAAGACACACAACTTTCTTTGTATGAGGTTTAAGACAGGAAATAGGAGTGGAGTTCTAGTCCCCGCTCATGAAAACACTCATCCTGGCTTCAGCTAGCAGGCCCATTCTAGAACTTGAAAAAACTATCATATAAATAAAAATGAAGGATCACAACTTAATGATGGACCATCCCAAGGCATCTGTTTATTTTAACCATAATTAAATATTCCCATTTAAATGGCATGTTATGTTAACCAGGACCTGAAAGCCTGGCTCACAGGCATTTAGTACCCCTCTGTTTCAGACAGAGATTATTCTGTTAAGCCAGTACACCCCAGGCTCCCACAAAGACAGTTGTGGTGTCTTCTCCCACCATCACTAGACACTTAGCTTTGAAAGAAAGAGGAGGCAGCAACTCACTGAGAAGCAAGAGCTGTGAATTTGGGGTAGGATGCATGCTTTGTATGCAGACTTCTGCTGTATGAAAGAGCACTTTTGCCCTGCTATTCCAGATAGCCCTCCTTGCCCCCAGGAGGGCTCCAGCTGCACGTAGCTTTTTGCCTGTCAACTTTGGGAGCAGCAGGACACCGCCTTGCTCAGGAAGACTGATTATTTCTTCCTCTCTTCAGTGGTCAGCAAGACAGTTTTACAGAAAAAGCAGTATATTACCTGCTTTCTCTTGCAAAGGTGGCAGAACTTTATTCTGTCCTTAAGGATGCTGGATAGGAGGGCAGATGTCTGTAATAAGACATGATCATTAATTCTAACATACATTGGAATAACAACTCCATATGCTAGAAGATGAGAACCTGAATTCAATGAAATGCCCCTCTACCTTGTATCCCTTCCTGTTTTTGGTTGGACTCAATTCTGACAAGCAAATCTGATTGGTTAATTTGGCCTAAACCTGTAGCTAATGGGAAGACTTCCCCATGATTCAAGTGTCTTCCTTGTTCATATTAAAAAAAAAAACTTTCATTTTCTCCTGAGGTTTACTGTTAAATCCAAACCCAAAGCCAAATTTGAGATGAAATGCTACTGTGAAGCTGTTGCTCTCTTGTTTAAATCCAAGCAAGTACAAAGTGGCAAGTTCTCATGGCTGTACTTCACATAGTTACTGTAACTACTTTTTAACCTGGGTTCTGATCACCAGCACCGAGCCAACCTACCCAAGAAATTAAAGGCACCGCTGTAAAGGCAAAGTACTGCAAACGGAGAAGAGGATGCTGCAGTAATCAGCAATATTCTGCCTTACACCACACACTCCTTCTCCCTTCCAGCTGCTAGTATTCAGAAAAAGCATAGGATAAGGATAGGATTTAAAATATTCTCAATATGACTGATCTACCATGAACCCTGAAGAATCATTTATGGAAGAGAGAATCTCAAGGCTGGGGGAAAAGTCTGTTAAACTAGTCCTAACAGCCAAGCTGTAGCTATTCATGCTACATACCCACTTATCACAGAATTTCCACATGCAGCAGCAATAAAAGAAATGTCTATTCTATTTTAAGACTATGCAGGTGGAGAGATCATGTTGCAGAAGACAAAGCCAACAAAGGCCAGGATGGACTAGAGAGGCCTCTCTGGTCTGTCTTCTGTCTGCATACTTGTCTTTTGTAGCAGTCATCTTCCAAGAGATGTTCTACAAAACAGGCCGCAACACAGTAGTCTGGGAGGTATCATGGGTGCTACCTTTACCAGTAATGTTTTTTTTTTGATGCTTCTGCACCTGCACGATCTGCTAGCAATTGAGTTGCAATTGCTAGCAACTCAAAATCTAATGGCCTCACTGCCAGTTTTTGGAAAGAATAGGTTAAATAAACTTTAATAATGTTAGTCTGGTTTCTAGCAGACATATTTCACTGCTAGATATGTCAGAACTGATACTCTTGTGAATGCAATGCTCTAATGCAGTTTGTTGGAAACTCAGACTGCAGTGGGCTGTAAAACTTCAAAGACACAGACTCGTTCCTATTCAGTTCAACAGAAGAATTACTGACATGGAGAAGAATAAAAGCCATTCACAGCTAACCACAGCTGAACGAAGTGGCAAACAGATTAAACAATGAGAAGAAAAAAAAAAAAAGAGACTATAGTTTTATTCCTCTTTTAATATCTAAAGGAATTTCAGTCACAGCAATACCTTGCCTGCCATACTTTCTCACAGCTCTTCACTCCAGAGGAAGAAAGCAGAAATTCACTTTTATACCAACGGTATCAATTTAAAAATAAAGCCTCTCCTCAAGGAGGAAAGACTGATCATTCCATTTCACACTGTTCAGTTCCACTTTTTCTTTTTTTCCCCCAGTACTCTTAGCAATGAATGTGCTGCAAGGGGACAACGCAAGCAGCAGCATGTTTTCTGCTGTAGAAAAATATTCAAAGCCCCGCAAAAAGCAAGCATGGGAAAGACTGCTAAGCAAGACAGTCAGATCACAACATATAACTTACACTAATACTCATCCTGGTGAGCTGTGCAGTGAGCTTCATGTACCTCTTAAACCTCCAAACCTGCACAGCAGCTGCAGAGAGTCTTCAAGGAAAAACACGCATAGCAACCTCTCCTTCCAGAGGGAGACAGGCTGCAGAGGGGCTGGCTGGAGAACACACATGCTTCACCGTGTTAAAGCAATTGGTAGGTGAGACTTTGGTGGTTCAGGCCCTATCTCGTCCAATAAATGTTACGATAAATGGAGACCCAGCTGCAGTCTGCACTGCTACAACCTGTAGGAAGGCTGAGCAGCTATAGCTGTAATTCAGGACTGTTAGTTTAGAGCTGATGCTACTATTGCCTGAAGGACTTTGGGCACAACAGCAAGTCGTATCTACAACCTGTAGTCCTACAACCCGTAGT